TTAATTGTGTAACCTATTAAATAACCTATAACTCCATAAATAAAGACATCAAAGCATTATTTTTTCTTGTATAACCTATATAAAGTATTGTCATTTTTTGTGATTGGATAGTCTATCCACTATTTTACTAATTAGTCACAATGGTTCTTCTGTATCTAACCATTGTGACAAATTAGTAAAAAAAGTGGATAGAATAGTCAATCACTAAATATGATAATGGATTCTACTAGATATGAAGCAAACAATAATTTTAAGAATTGTTTTAGTAAAATTTAAAGACAAATCTATGTAAAAATCAATCTCTATTTGTTTTTACACACTAAGAACAACACAACGATAGTGTTGACCTTACATTGTAGTGTGTTGAATTATCTAGAAAGGAAGTATTCTGTTTAAAAGTTTTTGAGATGGAAATTACTCTTTTGGAAAATTCTACTACATTTTGCCATTAGTTGAAAATATAAAAAAGTTTCACATTTTATTCATGATTAATAATGTAACCAGAACTTCATAATGTTTATATTTCTCTTTAAACAAAAACTTCTTGTAAAACAACAAAATAGTGATAAAAATGTTCATTATTTTGTAGTAATAAAACTAAAAATTTTTAAGATAGTTTAATGCTTCAAGTTGGATAGTCATTTTTTATTCATTTTATCATAGTGTTCATTACCACTGAATGTTAGAAGAAAATAGCATTTTCAAAAATTATCTGGTGTGATGAAAATGGAATATTGTTACAATCAAAAATTAGTTTAAGGTTCAAAATTGTGTGTTTCAGTTCTGATTCTTAAAATACAATCAAACCTGTCTATAATGGAATCTGTATATAGTGAAAACCTATCATTAATGGAAAATTTCTTGGTCCCTTGAATTTTTTGCAAAAAGTAATATAAATTACCCTGTATATAGCAGAACCTGTCCAATGAGGAAATGGAAAAATCAGTACCTGATTTAACACAAATTTAATAAGTTTACAAGCCTAGGATGTATAAATCAAAGTCAAAAAATACACATACCCAATACAGAATAGCGAAAAGATTACTATATTACAGTAATTTTATTGGGATTAGAACAAAGTTTTGCATATTTTTATTAACAGCTGTTTTTACTTAATATAAATACTTAACATTTTGTGATGTAATTATAAGTTGTGAAATTTAACAGATTATTCTGGATGTGATTTTATTCTTTGTTTTCAAGCTTATTTTAAACTTTTTTACATTATATTTCGTTTGAATAAAATCAAGTCAAAATTGTCTGCAGATAAAATGCATGTTGGGCATATTATGCATGCTTTTTAAGTTTCAGTAACCCATACACTATACAGTAAAAAATACTTGTACCGTGTATGGGGAAGATGCTTCTAAACTCTGAATGTGTCAAATATGGTTTTCAAAGTTTCATTCTGGAAATTTTGAACTAAAGAATTCAAAACATAAAGGGCCCAAAAGCTGTTGAAGAGAAATTGAGGGAAGAAATTGTTAAAGATTGCCAAATAACAACTTGTGAATTTATAACAAATCTTAGTGAATCACAGACATGTATTGTTGAAATATTACATTCACTTGAAATGATTGTAAAACATGCTGATGATTGTGTTCTGCGCACAGTTTTTTTTTCCACTTATGAAAAAACGAACTGAATTGAGTATAATTTTGTCTGACGAAGGTAGACAGTTGTAAAGTTTTATCTTATTTTTAAATCAGTTTCTCATTTTTATCTTGGAAAACTTTTTATGGATAAATGAAAAAATTAAAGTTAAAATAAAAAATATTTGTTATTAACCAAAAATTTGTTCTAGCATGTGGTGATTATTTAGTTGAGTGTTGAGGTACTTCTGTATTTGATTAATGTGATTTTGATATATGTGGTAATATCGAGAAATTTATTAACCACATTAATCAAGAGATATCTGTAGTAGGTAATCGTATATAGTGAAAACCTGTCTACTACAGAAGAGTTTTCAGTTCCTTGGGGTTCCATATAGACAGGTTTGACTGTATTTTACTAAAGTAGTAGAATTGATACTGATTCATTTAGCTTTCAAGAAATTTAAATTCATTTAATATTTAAAGTAATTTTCATATCTTAATAATTAGTGTGATTTTTTTAGAATATAGTCAAACCTTAATTATACATTTCTTGGATGTATGTTTTTTGCAATTATATATTATGTTTAATGCAATTATAAGTAAATATTTTTTGTATACTTTCCCATTATAAAACACTTTAATTATATATTCTTTATCTATACAATTTCATACATGTGTGTCATATTTTTCAGTTACCTAAGCACATTTTTCTCATTTATGCATTATTCACTTTGAAATGAAAAAATTTAAAGTGATTACTAAAAAAAACAAAAAAGCGAATTATGTATTTACTTCAGCTTAGTCTACATTGATAGTAAGGTTAACATAACGGTTGAAGGCAAAATATGTACAGATTAGCATTAAAAATACTCAGATAGCAAGGTAAAATAAAAGGAATTTATTCATATTTTTCAATCTAGTAAATGTAGGCATATAATATAAAGTTTCAGTTTATACTTCCTTTGGGTCACAGAATGCAATTTTGAATATAAGAAAACTATTTTACCACTTAGACAACAAGTACTGTACTATCAAATTAAAAAAAAACCATTATGAATATGCACGTTCTCTAAGCAACAGTGTCATTACATTTGCTTATACCAGGGGTCGGCAACCTGCGGCTCGCGAGCCACATGCGGCTCTTTGGATGTGAAGCTGCGGCTCTTTAGTTCCATACGCAAATATTTATTTTATCAAAAAAAAAAACATTTAAAAATCGTTCTGAATCGATTAACGAGGATTAGGCACCGATTCTATCTCTCAGCCACTTGTACTCTCTTTTCACCGTACCCCTCCGACACGCGTCGTCGCTGTCGTCAGTCCGTCGGAAGCTCTCGAATGACGCCGTCGTCGGATGTTTCTATTATCTAATTTGTGGTGAAAAACACTACTTATATATGAATAAATAGATTAGTTTTTTATCAAAAAACTTTATTTATGCGAGTACTATTTACTGTTGGCAATAAAAAATTTTGTGACTCTTTAAAAACTTTGAAATTTTGTAAATTGTAATTTTGGCTCTTCCGACTCAAAAGGTTGCCGACCTCTCTCTGGCTTATACCAGTGGTTCTCAACCTTTTTTGTTCATATACCATATTAGCCCATTAGTTGTTTCTCAAATACCCCTTATACTTTTGTATATAAATTTTATAATTACTGCGTTAGATGTATATAACTGAGCATCATAAAAAAATTCTAACTAACTATAACTAAAAGTGAATTACTTATTTTATGTAAATAATAATAAATTTAATCAGGTACATACACTTATTTATTATTATTTGATAAGTATATTACTGTATATAAAATCACAGAAGTCATTTCAATACATGCATAAATTACATTTCCTAAAAATAAATAATTATAATTAACAATAAAGAAAATTTAAATTATTCTACAATAATTTCTAACAAAATTTAATGGAATATTTGTTGTGATAAATCTTCTGCAATTTTTTCAAAATTTGGTTCCCACATTGTTAAATAGAGATTATAATTGTGTACTGACCTTGAAATTAATGGCTGTGAATTTATAATGTGCAGAACAATACATGAATCTTTCAATTTTTGTAACAAACATAATGTCTAAATTTGTTAAATATCAAGTAATGCGCGCATGCAGTGACACGCATTACATGGTGGGAGTACGATCCAGGCCTCATTATTCCTAATACCAGTGGTCCAGTAACAACATGAAAAGCCCCAATCTTCTCAAGCAATAATTATAGAATAGAAAAAAAATTTTTTTTTCTATTCTAAAATTAATGCTCGGTTAGACCGTAATTTTACTAGACTACAGGTTCACTCAGTACTAACGGCACAAATAGACAGACAAATCAAGTGAATAAACAAGTTGTTTAGACTGTTAAAAGGGAAATTGGTGTTCACACTGGGATATTTTAAAGCAAGTTTTTGTCATTTCTTGTTTCTTGTGTTAATAATTTATAGCAAATTGATTAACATATGCCATTTTATAATAAAAGTTAGATGTACCCTTTCGATTTATGTTTGTACCCCCAGTTGAGAACCAATGGCTTATACAATATTGCCACATTGTCAACAATGCAATAATAATTAACAAAACTTTAGCACCTTTTATCAAATTTAAATCTAAGTGGTTATGATTTAATAAATGAGTTAGAATGTATTGCATAGAGTGGCTGTGATCATAGTTACAGCACTCTTAGTGGCAATGATTGGTATTATCAACCATCATTTTTAAGTCAAAACATTGAAGTCTGTACCATGTGTTGGGCAGAATTTTAGCTTAGAATCTATTTTTCTCATTTAAATCTAGATTTTGTTTGCCCCTAGATCTGAGATTTAGACAATTAGATAAGTGATATAAATCTACATTGTTTCATCTTGCATTTAGCATCTGATTTTGAAAAAATTATGATTTAATAACTTACATTTACTGTTATTTAGACTTATAAAAAATGTCATAAACATTCAGTTAAATATTTTATCATCATCAATATGATGAATGTTGAGATGAGTAAAATAATTTTCAATCTTAAAATATTTTTCTGTTATACAGCTTTACTGTTTTAATAATGTGTTAAGATTTGGAAGGACTCAAAATTTATAGCAATAAAAGTAACAAATAAAAAGGAACTGAAACTACTTGGTAAAGAAACCAAAAAACCAATTTCACTTTAGTTGATTGTAGTTAGCTGAAGTTGGCAGAACAGTAAGCTGACAATGTTCCTAATAAATTCTTATTTTTGGTTTCCTTAACAAGTAATTTGAGTTTTCTTTTATTTAAATATGGTATTAAATTTTGTTCTTTTACAAGACAAAAGTAACAAACGTATGTAATTATAAAATTTGAGTCATTTATATTTAATTTATGATGTGTTGTTAATTTATTTTCATTTTGTTTTATGAATTCTTTTACATTCAGCAGTTTTTTCTCCTTCTGAATAACATCAAAATGAATTTGGTTTATTATTATAATCATCATTACAGTTTGATTCTGAATTAAACTTCAATTATGAGTTTAATATCCTCTACCAGTGGTAAGGTACATTGCTTGTTTTTTACAGATTGTTTCTCTAAATTCACCTAGATATTGGTTAATAATAATAATAATTTTAATTTTAAGTGTATTGTTCTAAAACATCTAACACTAAAACTAGAAATTTTTATATTTGTAGTCAAATAAATTAATTTTAATATTACATAATCTCATGTTCAGAAGTTCTACTTATTCTCATGTAATAAATGCTGTCCAGGATATATATATATGAACATTAATATAGGCTAATTTAAAGCAGCATGTGAAAAATGCATAATTGAATTGAATTATAAATTTTTTAAAATCTTGACAATGACAATCTTGACATTTACAGATTACCACTAATTTTCCAGCATCTGATGGTCTAACACTTTTAATCTTGTAGGAGTGCACTTTTGTAATTCTATCAACTCCCAGACTGATTCATTGAATGGAATGGGATTGTATATAACATACATTCATTTGGATTGTCTACATTACAACTGTAGGTGATCCGTCTATATTCTCATTTTTATCTCATTTTGTTATACACTGAAACTTTTCTTAGGCAACCATTCAAAAATATGTGGAAAAATGACCATCTTGGGAGGTGAGCATCAGATTGTTTTTGAACTTCATGTAGTAAGTCAATAATAGTTTGTTGACAAATTCACTAATTAAAGCTTTGTTTAGCAAGATTCATATGAGCATCTTTTAAAGCACTCTGGTTCAGCAGAAGCACTACACATCTCTCGTCAATAACTTTACTTACCTCAATCATTTTCATGTAGTGGATTAGTTTCCGGAAAAAAATCTGTTCCTAGTTGTCCATTTTGTTACAACATTTCAATTTCCACATCTTCATTGATTGACTTTGGCAGCAGTACAAGTTCACTCAGACTCAGAGCTGGCCTGTTCATATAGGCGAACTAGTTAATGGCCTAGGGCGCTTGAATTTGGGAGGTGGCATGGCAAAAGTATATGCATAAATTACAATAAATAATGAAAAAATAAATGTTTTTGATCACAATCCTTTCTCACGTGTTGACCCGTGAATCGCCATTTTGAAAGTAGTGCCGTAGTCTCACAATCGTGATATTGTGTGCTGCATATTGAATAAAAATTAGACACTCCATTTTACATTGGTGTTTTATATTGTTGCAAATTTTTTTAAATGGGGCAACATTAAAGTCGTTTGCTTGGGCCGGCAGTGCTCAGATTCCAGGGTTTGTTGCATTGTTGGAATCTATAGTTGCATCCAATGAATCATTTGGAGCAAAACCACTGATGGTGGTGATGCACTCTATTATTATTTCTGAAGTAACTTCCCAGATAGTAACCTCTGAAGTAACCTTTAAATCAGCCTAAATCATCAATGACGGTGTCAGGTTTTGCTAGCATAGATATTAAAAAAAATTCTTATAAACAATGATTAACAATTTTTTGAAATATGCAATAAAAAATCCTATTTATCTGTATTAAAATCTGATTTTCTACTATTGATGCTCATGCATGAATGTCACTTTATCTATCTCGTCAACAAATGAGTGAAACATTATCTTTGAATATTGGATTTTAAATGCATGCATGACACCTTTGTTTAGCATATAAACACCTGCTATAAACACAAATGCTATATTTGCTGAGAATTTCCATTTTGAAATTCTTCTCAGCTTCCAGTATGACTGGTTACAGATTTCACTTCTTGCATATAGAAAAGAATGTTTTTACTATAGCTTTGGCTTCTTATGCCTCCATATCCCCTAGTTTAAATAGATATAAAGGCAGGTAGATTGCTACGTCATCCTGTAACATATTGGAATTAAAATATCTGAAGCAAATGGAAATTTACGTATTCTCCAAAGCTGCTAAGTATATAAACACTAAGAATGCCACTAACAATAGCATTTTCAATGTGTAGAAGTCTGTATTTAAGATTCTCTAACAGAAGCTTGCTATATCAAGGTTTACGACACACTGTATTGTTGAATATTTATTTTTATCCTTTGTTGTTCTCCCTTTTGGTTTTATTTATATAATTATGTCATAATGCACATATATTTGTACTTAAATTAGTTTTTATAAATTCCTGTATCATTGTTTTTTTTTCAACATTTATACTTTTTAAAAATTCAAAATAAAAATATTTTAATGTTTTACATTTCAAATTTATATACATTGTTTATTTTGCCTGTGTTCTCTAGGCAGTTAGAGTATTTGATTTACTGCAGCTTGAGGAAGACTCTTCAATAAGAGTGAAAATGTTTGCAATAAATAAAGTTTGCTGGAATTCATGGTTGTTTTGATCACACTAGGGTGGTTGTTGGTCAAGTTAAGAAGTGATCTGTTTAAAGAGGATCAAATTGCATTGGTAATATATGCCAAAGAAAAAAAAAACCTGTTCTCAAGAAAACTGGTTGCGTTGGGATGTGATTGTCTTCAGAAGTTTTGCTGTATTTAATTTTAGCTATGGCATCATCAGATTACAATAGAAAAAGAATTTAAAAACTATTCATTGTTTGAATTAGATGATGGTGAAACACAGAAAAAACATTTAACCATGTTTAAAATAGTCAGATTTCCAAATATTTTAGTTGCTTTTATTCTTGATTGATTCTACATATTTAGCTTTTAAGAAAGATGCAGGTGTCTGTGGTAATGAGCATACACATTATTCATTATTTAATATATGTTTAAGTTTCTAGCAGTCTGTAGTTTTATAAAGATATGGAAGGCTTGAAATTAGTCATTCAGGATAAGATATTATTTGAGGCTCTGGACAGGTACAAACCCTCACTGAAATTTGCATTAAAATAAAAATAAAAATAAAAATAGATGCTAGAAATAAGTTTTTGTATGAAAACGTGACATGAACTTTTAAACAATAGGATGCAAGTTCTAAGATCGACCATTTCCAGTTGGGACTGATTTTGATCTCTCCTGCAATCTAAGTTGAGATCTTGTTGCACATAGTAACAAGAGATCAACCACTTAGAAAGTGAGAATGAGGAAAAGTGACCAATCGGAATGGGCAATCAAGGATGGTGATTAATAAAAATCTGGAATTTCAAGGACATGACTGCTTATTCCTCCAAAAGTTCCAATTGTTGTGTGTGTCTTGTGCCCATCTTTGTTTCACATCTTCTGATCGATATCTTCCCATCACTGGAAGTTGACCACATTGTCCTGGAGATGTCAAGGAAACTGCCATTCACGAACCAGGGATTATCTTGGAAAGGAGGGCAATGCCAACTTAAAACTTTCAAGATCATAGAAATCTTGTAAGCTCATTTCATGTCAAATGGTTTCTTGTAACTGTAGAGTCTGTCTCGGTGACCATTGCATCTACATATGACTCTTTTAGCAACCCCTCAACCCTCTTGACATTTCCCCCATTGGCAAACTCACAATTATTTTGTGACCTCATTTGTCCAGAAAAACTGGTAATCCAGCAAGGCTCTGGAACTATGAATACTGGAAAATCAGTGGCCATAAAAAGGAACAAATTTTCAAGTAATAAATTCCTCCTCTAATTTGCATTTTTATATCAAATTATAAGTTTTTGTCAATAATTAACATAATTGTCTTCATATGACACCTAGCCTGCACCTGCTTTCATTAAAACATAAATAATCCACTGGTTATATGCAACAAACTACAGTACTAGTTTCATTTATCATAATACAATTCTAAATTTTTAAAATGTTTTAATGTTTTATGTGAGTTTGATGAGATCTTTGTCAAATTCATTTAAGATTATCAAGACCATGCTGCATGTTTGTGAACACAATTGAATTTTCATTGTTTGTTTTCATAATCCTAATCAATTGCATGAAACTATTTTAGAAACTATTGTAAATATTTATATTTGAATTATAATTAAAAACTGATCTTTTATATGTTAATAAATATTTAATTTATAAATTATTATGACAATAACCATAATATTGTTAATATATGTAATTTAAAAAAATTTATTTCAGACATTTTCCATTCTTGTGGGGGCTGCAGTGGTGGTAGTTACAGCAGTGATTATAAAATATATGTTAGGATGGAAACATTCTTCTCCAAAATTATTAGAAGATCCAGATAAAAAGTATTCTATTAAACTTATTGAAAAAGAGGTAATTTTTTTATTATGTATTATCTCAGTAAACTAAAAATTTAATCTTGTAGAATATTAGTTTGTAAAATAATATGAACTTTAACAAAATAGTTCTTATAACAAAACTGTTTTGATAAATAAAAATGAATGTATACTTACTCATTCACTTGAACGTTTTTTCTTAAATCAATGTGTAATTATTCACTCCAATTAATAGGAAAATTTTTTGGCATATCAAACCCCTAATGTTTTCATATGCAAATTTATTTTATTTATTATCAAAAGCTTTATTAAGTCTAGGATTACCATCCTCACAAAACAAGTTCTCACAAAATAAACAATAAAAATAGAAAAAATTACAAATAAACAAAAACACATAATAAGTATGAAAAATTTTGTTTTGATTTCTTTGGTCATATCAATTAGCCTTAATATTTTGAAATGATTACTTTTAGAATATTTGATTTTGCTAATAAACAGAATTACTCTCAAAGTATTCATCAAAATCTTTTCTAGACTGATATTTACATTTGATGTATTTAATGAATTTGTAGAATAATTAGTAATGACAAAATCTTAATTCTGTTTCATTTGTAATAATATATTCACTGTTTTTTTATTAATTTTTTTAATGATAAATAATAGTCTTATTATTCAATGCTTGGTTTTGTCTTAATAAATATTTTATGAAATTGAATGTGCATTCATTATTTTTATATTAACACTGTTGTTGCCTGATGCTGTTATCAGATCTGTGGTAAATTAGTATTGATATAAATATAACATAGTTGCAACAACAGAATCAAATCTAATTTGATATTATAAAGTTTTTATAATGAAAAACTAGAAATAAGGAATGTATTAGGGAAAACAAGAAAGCATCTATAATTTTCTTAAAATTTTTTTAAAATATTGAATTAATTAGAGTTTCAAACAAACTACCAATATCTGAATTAATAGTTTCAAATATAATTTAGTTGAATTTCTGAGAGTGGAGACTACAGAATGAAGTATCAAATGAATTTCTTAAAAATAAATATTTTTTGCAATCATATAAATCTATAAGAGAACCAAGACAAATGTATAGGTAAAATGAAAATTTTTCCAAAATGCATGTTGAACAACTTATGCATGTAGATTTTGTTGAAATTTAATTGTTTGGATCATTTAGAATATAGAATTTTCAGTTGAAAAAGTTTAAATCTAATATTAGTTCTCCCTTCAAATTATTAACTCTTAAATATTTTTATATTAAAAAAAATCAAAGTATTATGGTTATTTCTGATGCAAATCATCTCTAAAGGACTTTCACTTCATCAAAATTATATAAATTTAATGCGAATAAAATAATAAAACTGTTGAAAACTTTATTTTGAATAACATCTTCACTTTATAAGACCAGACTTATTATAATCCTAGTGTATTTAATTAACAGTATGACATCACATGCATGCACATGCCTTAGAATGCTGACTGCACATGATCCAGCATCATGTTATTCAAAATAAACTTTTAAAGTTTATTGGAATCTTCACTTTTATTGGAACCTTACAATAGGAACAATTATTTTCTTTTGAGATAAAAAANATCATTATTTATATAAATAAAAAATTATCTCCATAATGCATTATTCATAATAAATCTAATCTGAAAACTATTATTTAATATCAAAATATGATGGAATAAGCTAAATTCTTAATTTAGCTTATTCCATCATATTTTGATATTAAATAATAGTTTTCAGATTAGATTTATTATGAATAATGCATTATGGAGATAATTTTTTATTTATATAAATAATGATCCTGGATTATTATTTAGTTTTAAAGTTTTAATTATGTTACTTGCATTTCATAATTATTTTGTGTAGTACACTGTGCTAAAGAAATGAAATTTCAACCAAATTAAGATGCAATTTGAATTTTCTATTCATTAAACTAAGACTTGTATGTGGTCACTAAAAATTTTTTTCAAAATTATTCTAGTTATTCTAAAATAATATAATTTATTACAAAAGATTTTGTTATTCAAACAGTGAAACAGTGTAATCTTAAATTGTAATGATAAAAATGTTTATTTTTCCAATGTTCTGTTTGGTTTGTAGCAGAATTTATTTTTTAATTAATTTACAATTCAATGAAACTTACATTCATTTTAAAATAAATTCATTAAGTATAAGCAGTAAGAATAATTTATTCATAAACTTAGTCAATACCAGTCTTGGGCAAAAATTCAAAACAGTCAAAATATCTAATTATTTCCAAACCATCCCAAGATTGACACTTACTTTACATAAGGTAGAATATACTACTGATTATACTGACTAGAGAGAGAGAGTAGGTGATCAGAATTTTAATAACCTTCATCAAAACAAGAAAATAACATATTTTAACAGCAATACATTAGCAAAAATTGATCAAAAGTTCTGAAACAAGTGTTCCAGATACTCCAATTTATTTAATATTTGATGGGACCATCTTTATTCTGTAATACTGCTTTGAGGTGATCTTGCATTAGGTCTACAGCTTGTGCTAAAGGTCTTATTGTCTGGATTGCCACAGTTTCCAAATTAGAGTCTCCAGGTAAAGTTTAGTTATACTACTAACTATGCCCATGAATTTGATGAGTCAACAACCATAAAGATTCTCAATGGTATTGAAGTCTGAACTTCTAGCAAGCCATGGCAAAACAGTAACATTATTGGCTTGAAATTAGTTCTCTGTGGATTTGGATGAGCATATTGAGACATTATCTTGCTGGAAAATCCAGTCTTCTCTAGCAACAATGTCTTCAGTTGACAGCCAGTATTCTTTAACCATGTTTGTTTTCCATAGAAGACAATCCCAACAGTTCCTGTAGAGCAAAAGGCTGCCCAAACCATGAGATTGTAACTACCTTGTTGTCTTCTGGAAAACAGAACAGTCTTTCCTCTCAGACCATCTGGAACATCAAGATTCCATTTCTTTTCATCATAGAAGACAACCTAATTCCAATCAGCAGTGGTTCAGCTAATGTGATTCACATCAAATATTTCTCTTCATTGTTTGTGCTTTTGGGTGAGTGGTGGCTTGGACAGAATTTTTTGCCCCTGTCATGTTTACATTCTTTTGTAAGGCTCTTTGAATTGCTCTTAAAGAACCATTCTAGTTACAATTCCTAAATTTGCCATGACTGCTTTCTCTTTCAAATTGGTCTTTTTGTTGTTCTTTGGTCATCTTCAGATGTTTTTGAGTCTGCAGGTCTTGACTTACCATAAATTTCAGGAGTCCTCAGAAATTGACAAACAGTGGATGCAGATGCTCTTACAAAGCTGGAGAGGTTTTGGACTTCAATTAGGATGTGCCTAATGTAAAACAAAAATCTGTGCTCTTTCAGCATCTGATGATTCCTTTCCATGTCCCATAATAATGATACATGTTACTTGAACTTGTCCAAGAAAATCATTTCTACTGCTGTATTACATAAATATTTTTCCAGATGGTCAAACAGTTTAGAAATAACTACTTAAGCAACAACTGATCAATTAACACAATAATTAGCAACAACTGGTCAAAAAGTTTAGAAATAATAGCTTCCACAAAGCTATTATTTCTAAACTTTTTGACCAGTTGTTGCTAATGTATTCCTATTGATATGTTAGTTTCTGTTTTGATGAAGACTATTAAAAGTCTGATAACCTTCAATTCTTCTAATTAATAGTATCTTCCATCTTATGTACAGTACAATAGGTATCAACAAGCCATTTTATTGTGACATTTTGTCACAGTTATGGGCTGCAATTTTTAATCATATTTTAAATTAAATAAATTTAAAATATATGCTATCCACCTCAAATTAGTAGTGGCTTGCCCCTGTACATCATAGTTTTCCTTTAGCAATAGAGTTGTGCTGGTCATCTATCTTATACCTTTCGGGAAAAAATTTTTGAATTGAAATAACATGACTTCCAGTTTGCATGTAGTTAATCAGAGCCTCCTGTCCTTGAGGTTTCCATATCTGGTCTTGTCTTTCATCCATCTAACTCTGTTCTTGCAATTAAGGAAAAATGGATGGACAGTGACAATGGGAATTTTACATGGGGTCTACAGTTGGTCTACAATTTTTTAAAATTGCAGCTCAATAATTTGGATGGTTTGAGAATAGTTTAAAGGTTTTAAAACAATCAAAATGTGTCTGGAATTGCATAATACAATATTAAAGAAAATTTGATTTTTATTTAAATTAGTTTTATAAAAATTTAAACTCAATTTATAATTTTATATTTATATATAACAAAAAACTCAATTTTTAAAATTAGAAATGAATTATATGGGATGTCCCATCAAGACTGCATAAACTCTACAGAGTGAGAATCTTCACGTGAAGTATAAATTGACCCAAGAACCATACCTCTACAACACAGTTTTTGAGAAAAAAATGCAAAAGAAACAGTATGACATCACATCCAGTGCACATAAAATAAGCTTTATTGGAAACATGAACATCAGTACTTACATATAACTATAAAGGAAGATACTCAAAATGACCACTGCATATATCGAGGCATGCATGCACATGCCTTAGAATGCTGACTGCACATGATCCAACATCATGTTGTCCACAAAAGTTAATACTGCCTCGTAGTCTGAAGATAAGCAACCAAGATCATGTGCAATTGTATGGTGTGCACATGCATGCCATGATATATGCAGTGATCATTTTGAGCATTTTCCTATGTAAGTATAATGTCATATGCAAGTACTAATGTTCATATTGCCAATAAAGCTTATTTTCTGTGCACTGGATGTGATGTCATACTGTTTCTATTGCATTTTTATCAAACTATGGGTCATAAAGGTATGGTTTTTGAATTATTTGGTATGTATTCAGAGTGATTCTCACTCTGAACACATACCTCACTCTGCAGAATTTTGCAGTCTTGACGGGACATCCTGTATATTTACAAAAAAAAACATAGTTAATTAGAACTAATAAACCAGATTTATAATCCTAGCGTATTTAATTAACTCTTTCCAAAATGTATTTTGGTCTCACTAGCCCTTTGTAATTGGATAACATACAAAAAACAATCTTTGATGACTATTGTCAACTTTACACCTTAGAAGTCCAACAATATACCTTAGAAGTACAATAATTATACATTATTAAGGTATATTGTAATGTTGTATGTAAGGTATATTGTAATACAGTGGGTGATCGGTTAACGAACAAATCGGATAACGAACACTTTCGCGAAAGACTTTTATGTTCTGACAACAAACACATGATCGGATAACATACGAACACAAGAAGCAACGTAAAATAATGAATACTGATTGGTCTTCTCTTGTCTTCAGGCAACAATTTGAAACTTTTCGGAGCGTGGGAGACGTTGACATCGATGCTCAACCCAGTATATACTAATCAGATAGTATTCCTCTGAACTTTGAAACTCTCCCTTGTAATTCCAATTTTTTATTTTTCTGACAGAAACAATTCTTTTATAGTATTCATGAGACTGTCAGGTGAGCACTTGTTAAGTTTTGTGTCAGTTTTTATTTTCAAAAGGTGAGAGTATAATAGCAAAGGTAGAGAGTGGGCAGATGTCTGATGTTGCTGGGCAGTATGGCTTGAACAGGTCTACAGTAGGCCACAGTTCAATCTTATCTAAGAAAGATACTGTATAATCAAGAAGACTCAAGTAGCTAAAGGAGAAACAAAAATCACATCTGAGAAATAAAGAACATGAAGAGCTCATAATGGAACCTGAAACAGACCTGATGACAGAAGAATGCCAAGAACTCTTAAATGAAGAACACAAAGAAACTCAGCAAGATATGTTTTCTTCTGAAAAAGAGGATTAATGCCAATATCTGCTATTAAACATTTTTTTGAAGAAGTGGGAGGATGTCAGAATGACAATCTTAAAATGGTATCCAAACTAGGTTGAGGTTAATAGGCTTGGGGATCTCTACAATTACAATGCTATTAATTACTTCTGAAAAATCCTGAAGAAGAGAGAAAAGCAATTGACATTAGACTGATTCTTTATTTTTGGGGATCTCCAGAACGAATTAATCAAATTTCCATAAAAACGTATGGTAAATCGATAATCAGTTAACAAACAATTTGGATAGCAAACAAGTCTTGGAATGAATTATGTTCATTAACTGATCACCCACTGTATTGGCAATAGTCATGATAAACTCTGTAAGTTATCCAATTGAAAAAGACCAGTAAGGCCAAAATGCATTTTGGAAAGAGTTAATTAAATACACTTATAAGTCTGGTTCATTAGTTCTGATTAACTATGTTTTTTTTTGTAAATTAATAATACAGTAGCTTTTTAATATATAAATTATATATTATTAAATAAAATATAATAATTAGGAAATCAGCCATGACACAAGAAGATTTCGATTTGCTCTCCCAACATCGGAACACATTCTGGGTTTGCCAGTAGGTATGTTTAAACTTTGCAAAAAATTTATTATTAAAATTCAATTCATAGAAAGTTGATATGACAATATTTTAATTGAAAGATACTTAAATATTTTTAGGTCAACACATCTACATAAGTGCTCGAGTAAATGGACAACTAGTTGTTCGACCATATACTCCAGTGTCAAGTGATGATTGTAAAGGTTACATGGATTTAGTAATTAAGGTAAAATATTACTAATAATTACTCAGACTCAGGTGGATCTAATTCTTTGGGGCGTAGGGCTTATTGAAATCCAATGGGACCCCATTTTTTGTTAATGTAAATAATACTATAAATATCATTATTATTATATTATTAATATTAATTATTTTTTACTATACAATAAGTACTCACTGTTAATGAAAAAGTATTAAAAATTTATGATAATTCAATTTTTGTGGGTCCTTGGTTTAAGCCCTATTAGTCCCTATGTAGATCTGCCCCTGCTCAGACTTACATAGTGTGGAATTTACAAGTTTCTTACTAGTGAAATTACCTAAATTTCAGTTTCTAAGACTGTAAATGAAGATTTATTTTTTTTTAGAAAAGCTACATACATTTTATAAATATATAATATTTTAAGTAGTTATTTTAATATAATAATAGTAATAAATTTTTAATAAGGTATATTTCAAAAATGTACATCCTAAATATCCAGAAGGAGGGAAAATGTCCCAATATCTCAACAATATGGAAATTGGCGATAGCATAGATATCAGAGGTCCAAATGGAAATCTTATTTATAATGGAGCAGGTAACTAACTACATTACATTTACATAATAAACATAATTATTAATAATAATTTAATAATATCCACATCTTTCAGGAGAATTTTCAATTCGACCAGATAAGAAGTCTCCATCTTCAATTTATAAAGTGAAGAAAGTGGGAATGATTGCTGGAGGAACAGGTATGTATTCAAATTTTAATTACTATGCTTTAATGGCATATAAGAAACACTCCCATTTCGGCATATCAGTAAAGACAATAATTACAAACTATGTAATTTGAATTAATTGATCCTAAAAGTCAAAAAGTATTCTAATGGGTAAAATCTTTTGAATAAAAAGCCTGACACTAGCTCCTGAATGTGGCTGAAAATGTTTGCTTCTCATTTATATCGGAAGTGCTGGAAATGTGCAGAAAGGTCAGCGATAGGCTATTTTCATTGAGAATTCTTGGATACCTTCAGCCATAACTTCTTTCACACTTCATTCATGCAGTTATCAGTGAATTCATGCCGATATTGCCTATGGCATCCATGATGTTATGTTTTTTCCAAAATTGCACCAAACAAACATAGATTTAAGAAAAGCACAGCGCTATGATGAGTTGCCTCTCTTTGCTGATTGGTTCATGTTTGGGAATAATTGTATTACGAATTTACAAATCAATGAAATGCTGAAATAATTTGAATTGGTGAAAATTTTTAGCTTTTTTTTTAGGCTTAGAGCAGACCTCATTATATCGAATCAGTGTTAAGTGGAGTCTTACTGTGTATAGAAAATGTGTCTTATATTCAAGTAAATATAGAATATGTTTAGGCATATGCATTATAGAAGAATCAAGTTTGATATGAAACTTGAAAATCTTTTAAAACTATTAATATTATCATCTCTTCTGATTGAATCAAAAGTAGTTTATCACAATAAAAGGAAAAATTTGATGTTAAATACGGATCATAGGAAATATTACAAGTCAATTATTGTAAAACAAATAAAAATGTTAAAATTATGTTTGTCTACTTAAACGAAATTTTTATTATTTTTTTTTTATTAAATTTTGAAATCATGATGATAATTTACATTAAAGAAAGGTTGGTTGTAATTTTTAATTAATGTAAATTTATTTAGGAATTACACCAATGCTGCAGATTGTGCGTCAAGTATTTAAAGAACCAGAAGATCAAACAATTCTTTATTTGCTGTTTGCTAATCAGGTAATTTTTTTTTATTGAATATTTGCATTTACTTGGTATCTGCACAAGTATAGATAACATATTGATTGATTTTCTTGAATTATCAGACAGAAGGTGATATATTGCTGAGATCAGAGTTGGAAGAATTAGCAGCCACTCACTCTGACCGTTTTAAACTTTGGTATACTGTAGATAGGCCAACAGATGGTTTGTTTTACATTAAAAGTTGACTAATTTTCTTTTCCATGTAAAAATTACATTGTATCTAAATTATTTTTATGGTGTCTTACAGGATGGAAGTACAGCAGTGGTTTCGTAAATGCAGATATGATTTCTCAACACTTACCGAAACCTGCAGACGACACACTGATTTTGATGTGTGGACCACCTCCAATGATCAATTTTGCCTGTATTCCAAATCTGGATAAACTAGGCTACAATCCAAAACTTAGATTTTCTTTTTAGATGTTTTGATAAAGTAGATTTTCATTTTTCATTTTATAAAAAGTAATAAAATAAAATTTAGAATTATTTTTATTCCAAATTTTTCTATATTATTTTAGCCAAATATGGAGACATGAAAAAAATTTTGTATTAGAAATAAATCATAAAGTAGTAAGTTGCTGACACTGTTGGCTTGCAAATTAACTGATATCTGGTATACAGGGAGATCATAATTAAGGAATAGGTGTTTAGAGCTCTAAAAAAAAAACTATTGATACTATGTTGAGTATGGAGTTTCAATTTTTTGGGGAAAAATTTTACTTTAAAATTCATCTGGCAGGAGGAAAATTTTGCACTTTTCAAAACAAAAATTCATTTTTCTAAACTCCCAGTAGTCAAGACTTATAGATCCATAAATAATTAAGTAAGTAATGGTGACCACTTTGCCTGATCATGTGTCAAAAAATAGGGAAAAATGTTTTGCCATTCTTTTTACCCTTTATGTATATTTTCTAATTTTAAGTGTACAGTATAAGGGAACAGCAGTGCCAAGTTTTACAAGTAAAATCTTTCCCAAAAATCAAAACTGTTAACTTATGACAGTGTGTGTATTTGGTTAATCTGTCCAATGGTTTCTTTTACAGAGTGCTTTGAATACCTCTATTCTTAATTACTGTATGTTCCTGTAGATACAAAGTTTTTCAAAATGATTATTTGGTGTTTAGTGAATTACATAGTAATTGTAATAAACTCATCAAACTAGTGTTTATGCTCCAATGTATTCAGAAACTGCCTTCTCTACATATTGTAATGCATTAGACAATAGTTTGTTTACACCTGTCAAAAGGCAATTCGTTTTTCACTGCAACTAGCCATTGTTTTGTGAAAAAAAATTTGTGTTCTGGAATTTCATGAAACAAACTATCAGTGGCATGAAATTGCTGCTGGTATCTTGAAATACATTTAGGCAATTCTATCAATGATATACAGGCATCCTATTTTCTGGAATTCAGGATAAAGGGAAAAGTAGTAGCCAACCCTTGGTTTCAGATAAAGATATGGATGGAATACATATAGAAATACTGTAGTACATGCAAAGCTTGAAAAAATCAGTTCCTACAAGTTCAATTCAAACTGGGTATTCCACAAACACTGTTTTAAGGAAGTGACTTCATATGAAGCCATATCATATGGCCCTACTTCAACTCTAACAGCCGATGACCCACCTTATTTGTGCTAGGAGGCAGTTTTTTTTTAATATACAGGAGGGTGCAGAAGTAGGTATACAGTTGAGAATCTGAAAAATACAAATGTTTGGTGTTCATTTTTATTATCTTTTATTAGTTTGTATTCCTTATTTGTGATTTAATTTATATATAAAATTAAATGTTTTTTCTTCCTATTTTCTCCATAATATTTTTTTTCCATAATAACAACTGTATACCTACTATATATACAGGGGGCTACTATAGTAATGCATCACACAATATAAACTTGATAGTTTCTGAATACATTTAAGCAGAAATGATGACAGTTGAAGCCATGACATTCATTTTGAATTATACATAAAATAATCATTTTAATTTTAAATATAAGGAATTGATAATGTTATAATAGCTGGACTATTTTCCATTTTAAAAACAACAGTTTCAGATATGAGACAAATGATGAAACAGTTTTAATTTAAGAATTAGTGTTTTTTCAATATAGAAAGTTGATTATAGAGGTAAATAATTATTTAACATTGCTGATTGCAATATTTTTCTTGTCATTTCAATTAGCACTTATATTTTTGTTCATCTTATCCCATTTTCAAGGTTTGATAATCACTACAGCAACTTATCCAGTTTAAACAAAACAAGTAAAATAGTCTTGTCCCAAATACAGTCTTGCTATGTCTTGGAGACTCACTACTGAGTGGAATCACTTTGATGCTGAAGGTGGGTCTCGTTCTCATTCTCCAATCTTCTTTGGTATCGCTGGTTTTGAGTGTGATCTTTCAAACTTCGCCAGCCACGACCATGAGGTCATCCATGATGCATTTTTGGTGAAATTAACCTATCCAATTTTGAAATTTCTCAACATTGCGTGTCGCCCTGGGTTGAATTTTTCTCGATGCCTAACAAAAATTTCCCGTTTTTGAAAAAAATAATCCTGTCTATCGTATTGTCAGAAATTATTTTGCACAAACAATATAATTTGTTTTTTTCTACATTTATTTATATATATATATATTGAAGTTAGTTTTAATATAAAATTGTAATGACTAGTGCCATCTAGTTTGAAAAAAGGTTCCTATGTTGAAACGAGATATCTCGGGTCAACCAGTCAAACTCAGCGACCAGAGATATGTTGCGAATAACATGGAACAGGTAAATGGGTTTTTTCAAAGATTCGTTTATCAAAATTTGATTTCTCATTTCAAACTTTCCAATGCACGCATTTGTCAAAATTCGATTTTGCAACATTCACATTTCCAACGAGCAACACATGCACAAATCCTGCACAAATCCTGCACTACTGCCCGTTAGTAGTGTGTCACTGTTTCGAATTTTATTTTGACTCGGTTCCAAATACCTACAAGTCTAGTCTTTTTTTAATGTGTGCATGATTTTGACACCTAATACTCTGTGTCAAATTGCAACTCCTAACATGTACTACTTCATACCTCTAAGCTGGTTACCCAGCAGGCAGTACAATTTTATAAACAAGACATAAAAACTACACATTTTGTTGACAAGACTAAATGCTTTATTTATTTCTTTTAATATGTTTTCAAACTACTTACTATAAATCTAATTATAAAACCAGCCATTGTAAATATTTTATATTTTCAACTTACAGTATCTATTCAGTTACTAATTTATTAATGCAGTTTCAACTCATCAGTCATATTAATTTGATTCTTGTGCTAATAATATATATATATTGCTTGATATACAGAACAAGGATGAACTAAACATTTATTATTATTATTGTAGTCCTGTGACTGAGAGCTCAAACAAATCTTGGAATGGCATTACTTTTTGGTAAATAGAATTAGAACAAAAAAATTTTGGAATGTAGACAGATAACAGATTTAACAAAACATCTTTAAACAGTTTTTTTAAAGACTATCTTGCTCAATATTGAGATATTGTTATCTCAAGGCTAAGTCATATTTCTATTCAGACCAGAAATTACAGTAATGTTAGTTTTGATTTTTATTAATTTATTTAGACTTTTATGCATAATAGTTATATCATTTTAATTTTTAGCATTATGCTATCTATGGTAGAAATGCTTCATTCTTGGACTGATACATAAGTTCTATTATAAAAATTTATTTTGTATTGTACAGTACGTATTTTTTGGTAAGATATAAATTTTTACAATTTTTCTGCTTAGTGGTAAGATGTATTTTTTTCAATTACATGTTTGTGCAGGATCAAAACATTGTCTTTTAATCTTCAGCCAATGATTAAGACCCTAGTAGTTGGCATGTTCCTGATAAGCAGGGCTGTAGAGTTACTATTTATCACCAGTATGAATTACTGTACTATTTTTTTGACTAAAGTTGGAGTCAATACATTTTTAGTATCATATGATGATTTATCATTTTGCAGTTTTGTACACCTGTACCAACGCCACAGCCGCCTACAAATAAGTTTCAGATAATGATTTTAGGAAATATACTATCCACAAATCACATATTGGGTGTTCAGCTGAACACTTAAAATGATTCAACAACCAATATATTTTAAAAATAATTTATTACAGTTTTCTTTATTATAAATTGTAAAAATCACTACAGTGATTTAAAAAATAGTGGAATATAAGAGATTCATATGCAAGAATATACTTGGCATGTATATGACAAAATTACAAAACCTTACTAATACATTTATTTAAATAATAATTATAATAATTTGACTGATAAATAAGACACAAAGAGTGAGAAGAAAATGCTCAAGATAGATCCACTTCTGAGACTGGCCTCGTTGCACCACTGATCAAAGTCACAAAAACAGTAAGTGATGTTTGTCCAGTAATCCCTAAAAATAGAGTGTCTTGTTAGAATTAGAAATCTTACATTTATTAATCTATGGAAAAATTATTATGCTGTGTTGAATATTCTTTTCTATTCCTTAACACAATTTGAAACAACCCAGAGTTCCCAATAGCCATGTGTGCATACTGTCGTGCTTAACAATTCAGAATCATTGACAAAAATTTTTGGTGGTTTGTGTTGCGCACACAACTATTTTGTCTATTTCTTGTCTTCCCTCCAAAATGTCTAATTCTGAACTTCATTTATAATACTAGCAGGTGCACACTATAATATCATGTATGTATTAATTAAATTCTTTTTATATTGCAATGTAGATTGCCTTTGTTAACATTTAAATATATTTAAATTATTTTGAACTAATTTTCACTACAATTTTGATTTGTCCTAAATATCCATTTCACCATAGTGCAGGAATGCAGAATATGTCCAATTGCAAATACAAAGTTGGGGAAAATTTATGGCAGAAAAAATGAGTCAACAGACACAAAAAGTGGAGTAGCTTTTCAGCTAAGCCTATAGACATAAAAAATTAACCTATCATTGATTGCTTCTGATCAGTTCAAAGTAAATTGTTACGAACTAGCAGTAAGGTAAGAACAATTGAAATTTGTGGTTCCTTTATAGAACCAAGATTTCAATTTTTACAAAAAACCAAAAGCAAGACAGAGCTATAAAAAGAACTTAAAAGAAAATTCCTATCAAGTAGGTGAAAATTTGCAAATTAATGATAGATTTCATTTTTACTGCAACAGTCATGCACTTAGTTTTTTTATGTTTAAAAACAGTGTTTACTGATGCCATTAATGACCTATTTTTAATTATTTCAATTTAATTTCTACTAAACATATTACATCAAGTTTATATAATTCTATCCTATGACAAAGAATACTTGAAGCACATGTTATTAACATTAATTAAAACTGGCTGCACAATACAAAACTGATTATAATTAATAATTGTTACATAATTTGGAAAAATCAAATTAATTTATTCCTAAAATGTTTGTGTGCAACATATTTTCAGGAAAATTTTTTCCAGAAAGTAATGTTGTACTCCTAAAAATTAGGAGACCATAAAGATTGTCAATCCTTATGTCCAAAAAAATATAATCTAAACTTAGAACAGTACATCTTGAAGTGTCACTATCACCTTCAAAGATAGCAGATCATAGGTTTACAATAAATATTAGTGTGGATTCTGCCATTTGTAAAAATCTCAGCAATCAGGTCCTTATTAGAGCAATGGCTGTATGCTCATCGTATTGCCAACACATACATTGAACTGAAATATATTGAAAGAAATGCCAAACATGGATTTTCTACAAAATTTATACGTAATTAATGCCTTTAAAAAAAAACAAGAGCTACATCTGTCCAACTGGCATTTAAGAAGAGAGTTGCATTATTTTCCCATTTTAAAACTAGCTGACTTTGTTCATGTCAGCTAGTTTTAAAATGGCAATACAGGAATACCTTGCATTACGTCATTTTTCGACTTAAGTCGCCTCTCCTGGAACCAATTACTGATGTAAGTCGAATTTACTCATCACTAAAAACACCAATATTGAGCACTTAAAGACTGCTAAATAAGATGACAAAACAGAAACACAGATGTTTTCATGTTTCGTTCTGTAGGATTTATGATAATTATATTAACATTTACTGTAAATGTACATATTTTAATATGATTTTATGTGCTTTAATGCTTTTCTAGTGATATTACAACTTTAATATTTGTGCGGACGGACGTAAAGTCGAATAAAATGACTTAAACTTGATTTTTATTTTTCCATATATTTTTTGACAAACGACGTAACTCGAGGTATACCTGTATAAACATTGCATATAGGCATCATATGACATCATGTAGAATTCCAATCAGCCTCAATAACTCCTCTGATGTTTACATGATTCCAATTGAGAACCAGCGTTTTGGCGTGAGTCTAAAAGCTACTGGATGTACTTTGGCACAAAGGACTAAGGAGCATAAATACACTGTTGAAAAGCATCTCAATACCACTGCATTAGCAGCAAATGTCAACGAATGAAATATAAGGATAATCCTGGCCTCTTCCCATTTTAAGTTCCTAGAACTCTTGCAAAATAGGTAAGGTTTCTGGTCAGCTTTAAAAATTTCTATGACAGGAAATTTCCATGGAAGTCCATTTATGAAATAAAATATAAAGTTCCAAATTACAATTGTTTTTGTTTATATTAAAATGGTATGAAAGTGCTAAAAATAGGCTTTCTTCAGTGAATTAGACAATGATATTAGGTCAAACATTCTGATTTATTAAATTTACTGCTGGAGTTACAGTATTTCAGAATATTAATGTTCAGAAAGACCACCTTGTAGAGATTGGTGGGATGAGCATTTTCTACAAAGTAATCTAGGATCAAAACAAATATTAACAGCCCACAGAAAATTTGGACTCACTACCTTTCCTCTGGGGATAGAGTACAATGTATGAAACCAGAAGCAAAGCTATTGGAGTAGGAGCACAAACTCTAAATGCTGGAACCACTTTATTCCCCTTAGAATTGGTGTCTGTCCTCCCAATGTCAGCAAATTCTACTGAATAGTGGGCAAAGCTCTACCAAAAAAAAAATTTTTTTGGGGGTTTTTGTAATTAAAAGAAAAGAATACAGCAACATAAAGATTTGGACAGTTGGGGAGAACAGAAGACAGCTATCTTTCTTGACTGACTGACTATGAATTATCAATATCAGCCCTGTATGAAACACCAGTGGAATCGAAGAACTGTCCATATGTATCATTTCAATTTTCTTTTGATACTATCAGAGAATGACAGAGTAGGACAAAATTTGGTTCACCATAGTACTCTAGGAAAACTGGTGGTCACTACTTTGATTACTGATATTTTTTGCATATATATTACCTGTAACTCATCCCAAGACAGAAAAGATTAATCAATGTGAGGCATGATGATGGTTGTATATATGCACAGGATATTTATTTATTTGACATTCAGTTATGTCAAAAAAAATTCATAAGAACATTTCCTTTAATTTTTTGAAATCCCAAAAACTTTGCTAAAGGGAGAATAGATATTCTTCCTTTTCTTTACCCTGCAATTGTTAATTTTTTTGGCACACTACTTTCTTAAATAAAAAAACTTAGGACTTGCATTTCTTAAAGAATATTGAAAATTATCATCAATCATATAATACATCTTAATTACAAAACAATACAATATAATCTTACTGACTATAAAAAAATTAAATGAAAAATGTAGTTTGTTAGTTATTATTAGATCATTGTAAATTTTACAATAGTAGAAATTTTAGTAATCCCAATTGTATTACTGAGTGGATAATAAGGAATTGTAATTTACTGTAATGTATTTTTTTAGTTTATAAAAATTCTTAAAATCTGCCATAATTAAAATCTTAGTAAAAGTAAAACCTTAACTAATTAAAATACTTTTTAAATGTACAAACTACTCAAACTTAAGAAAGATTAAGGTGTTTAAGACTTATGTAATTCTAATTCAGTGTTTCTAGAATATAACATATTTTTTTTTTAAGTATAAGATGATGACAAATTAAAATGCAAAGTATGAGAAAAAGTTAAGTGAAAACATTCTGTTATGCATCAACGGTTGGTTCATAAAATAACCCAATGTGACACTAGCATCCTCATTAGGGAATCAGCTATTACATAAAATACAAGTCGTTACATGGATTTTCACGAGGGAAAAGAACTGTCAACAATCTAAAAAAGATAAGTTTATGGACAGATAAGGAAAATGTGCAAGTTTTGAAATGGAAACCAAAATATTGAGTTTGCTTCAACGTGCCACAAATCATTCAAGCCGATCAATACATCACTTCATACGCAACAGTGAAAATCAATAAGGGATGGTGCAACAATCTTGCACACACAACTTGCCTACAGAAAGTTATGCACCAAATGAGTTTGTGGACTCATTTGGTGCATCTGAATGTTATACAAACCACATGCAAATGTCACCGAACGAAATACAAGGATAAAATGGATGCATGTCTGTAAAACTTATCCCACCATCATCAATAAAATGATCTGATTTGTAGAGCATTATTATGGCCAAAGATGAGTCATGGTATCATTACGTACCCGTTGAAGCAAATGTCACTGCAACCATGCAAAGCTCCATCACAACTGATCATGAGGAAAGTGATGACGGATATTTTTTCTTTGACTATCAGAGTTTGCTGTAGATTAATCATTGCTCAAAGCTGGAGAAATTCAATATAACACACTGAAGGTTACACACTCAAGCCAGTATGTCAACTTTTGCTGGACTGCCCTACTATGTGACTATTAAAACAACTCTGATGCTAAGATTCAGTAGGTAGTTGTGAAAATCTTCCAGCAGCAATCCACTGACTTCTGTTCCATATTCTTCAGCTAATATACAAATGAGGTAAGTACTTATCTAGAAGCTAAAGCTGCCAATTGCCATGAACTGAGGACAAATAAATTAAGGATATATGAGAATATTCAACCTTCCTTTGTATACAGTTGTACTTAAAAGAAATATATCATAAAAATAAAGGCACTATCATTTATCCTTGTTTATTTAGAGTGTAAATCAATAAAAACTGTTCCTAAAGGATGGCTTTAATTATGAAATTCAGTAAGAAAAGCAACTACATAGAGAATTTATTGGTGAAACTATAGTTTGAATATACTGTATATGAAAGCAACTAAAATGTTGGCAATTTGTAACTGAAACAAAAACATTTTAAACTTTGGAATATAAACTTATTTTCCATAAACATATCAGTGGCTCTTGAAATGTAATCGCAACAACAAAAAATACCTTAAAATGCTTTTAAATTTAAGATGAGATGCAATTTCAAATATTATTCCTTTATCATTCATTTAATCCAGTTTACCAGACATCTTTTCTGTTAAATGGAGATGAGATCTGAAGATGACAGTTAATCTCAAAAATGTAAAAATAAATTGATAAATTTTTTTTTTGTTAAATAAGCCAGAGGGATACAGTATGTTAGATGAAATGTTTACAAAAAAAAATTATACCTTGTTATGAAAAATATGAAATTTGAAAATAATTTACCTTCACTTTTCCATTTTAGCCTTAATTTATAAACCATATTATTCTCTGCCAAAAATGTGAAACTAAACTTAATTTTGAATTTAAATTGAGTAGAACAACAGTAACATGAAAAAACTTTATAGGTTGTTTCATGCTAAGAGCTGTCTGCCAACCAAAAGGAAATCTAGAATACTTAAGAGTAAATTCCTGCAACCCAAGATATATTGCATATCCTGCTAAATTTATATGATCTATATCCTTCACAGACTAACATACTCATCCTTGTTATTGCACATCACAGCAACTAACCAAGATTTATGAAACACACTTAAAATTCAACAAGTAAACTTTTTTAAACTACAAATCAAGACAGTTATAACTAAAATTTTTTTATGCTACAACAACAAAGAATTTACCTTTTCAGTTCAAGCTGCTTGACGGTATTTTCCACATAGACTGCCAGTTTTGGCTGTGCAGCTGCTGGACGGCAACCCTCAAAACGATCTGCAGGTATATCCTTGCGCAGCCCTTCCAAGTTCGATAGACATTCTCTTGTTATTAACTTTTCAGCTGTGTTAACAAAAGACCATGAAATTTATTAAACTACTTTTTATGGCAACAAACTGACAATTGCATAACTATTGTCACTTTTATTTATAGAGATGTCATTTCTATCCTGTAAAATTAATATTCAGTAGGAAACAAATTATGATTTTTGTTTGAAACAAGTTAAATTTAAATATTCTCAATAAATAAATTCCATATTAGATATATGTTTGATGGAATATATTCCCATAAGAATACTGTACTTGGCATTTTCTCTGAAAGTTAACTGTCTCAAAAATTAATGCAATAAAATGATAATGTGACTGAAGATATTTTGGATGATCTTCAAAATAAATAAATAAATTATTTTTAGTTGTGAAAAAATATAAAATTCTAGCTTTAAAAACATGCCATTATTTGGCTCTTGTAGCTCAATTTAAAAATTAATTATTTAATATATAGGCAGTCCTCAACACAAAACTTTATTGTCCAATAAAAGCTGGATAATAAAGTTTCATGTTATAAAAGTTTATTCCCAGAGTTCTAAAATTAAAATCTCTTAATGTAAGAAAGTTTTACTTTTCTGCAGTGAATATATCACAAGCATAAAACATTAAACCATGGTTTTAACATTTTAAATAAACAAACTATATAATAAAAATTAATTATCAAAATCAAAACTGTCAATACATGTCACCAAACAATATCTTGAATTTTTTTTATACATTTTTGCCAGTAAACAAAAGTGCAAATCTGTGATATAAAAAATGATTTAGAGATATCAAAATATGTATGAAAGAACACATATGAAAGTTGAGGAACGCTTGTACACTTTGGAACCAGAGGAAGGTGATACAAGGTTACTCCCGTGGGAGTAATCCGTCCTGTTTGTTAGTATATTAAGATACATTGGTTAGTAATAGTAATTTCAATGTCGGTTAAATCAGAATTTTATGGATTAATAAACAAGATCCACTATTCATAAAAATTATACAGGGTGTCTACAATTTATTGACTAGATTAATATAATCTTGTCAGGGAGATCATCTGATTTGTGAATAAGAGACTAAACTGATTATTTTTCATTTTCTAGAAGGGACATTTGCATGTGTAGTATATTTGATTCATCATAGGATGCATATCACATGATTGCAGTTAGCACCTTTTTACCAAAATTACATGAGATTTTTGGTATTACTTTCTTTTTAATAATTTTAGCAAAGTAATCTCTAATACCGATTTGTTTTTAAAAGTTCATAGTGAAAAGTTGTTAGTAATTTTATGTTAATTGCATCTTGGTGACATGGTTTGCACATTATTTAACCAGTGGTTTAGCATTAGTTATTTGGGAGACAATCAGATTAGTCTCTATCCACAAATTGATTATTTTTCTTTTCTAGGTAAAATATAGCCTACTTGTAATTTTTATTTATTTATTTTATTTTTTGGATAGTTACCACTTTTATGTTTAGGATTGAATTTACTTTTTTGATTTACCATTGTGTTTTAGTTTTAAGTTGTGTTTATTTGTTTTGTATTAATGGATATATTCTGATCTTGTATAATTTTTTGTATTCTTGCATCGTGGTTGTACCAGTATGCTTAAATAAATAAAGAAAATAATAATCTTGTCAATAAATTTTAGACATTATTTATTAAATATAACATATTTAATAAAATACAAACCATAAAAGAAAGGAAAAATGGTTTTTCAAAAAATATATTAAAGTTGTCACAATGCAAAGTCATCTAAAAAATTTACTAAACTTCAGCATAGGAGCCTGTAAAATATCAAATCTAATTGATTTCTTGTTAAGCTTTTTGGCAGTATATCTTAGGACATCGCTTCCATCGCACAGTTGAAACACCATTACCTGGTGTTTCAACCATGCAATGTCAGTAACCTTTTTTGTATATACCCTGTCCTTTACTTATATCCTTACAAAAAAAAAAAAAAAAAAAAAAAAAAAAAAAAAAAAAAAAAAAAAAAAAAAAAAAAAAAAAAAAAAAAAAAAAAAAAAAAAAAAAAAAAAAAAAAAAAAAAAAAAAAAAAAAAAAAAAAAAAAAAAAAAAAAAAAAAAAAAAAAAAAAAAAAAAAAAAAAAAAAAAAAAAAAAAAAAAAAAAAAAAAAAAAAAAAAAAAAAAAAAAAAAAAAAAAAAAAAAAAAAAAAAAAAAAAAAAAAAAAAAAAAAAAAAAAAAAAAAAAAAAAAAAAAAAAAAAAAAAAAAAAAAAAAAAAAAAAAAAAAAAAAAAAAAAAAAAAAAAAAAAAAAAAAAAAAAAAAAAAAAAAAAAAAAAAAAAAAAAAAAAAAAAAAAAAAAAAAAAAAAAAAAAAAAAAAAAAAAAAAAAAAAAAAAAAAAAAAAAAAAAAAAAAAAAAAAAAAAAAAAAAAAAAAAAACAGAGAATGAGATCTGTGGAATGAGGAGCCCATAGAATTGAGCAGGAATTCCATTGACCAGGAAATTTATTGTCCAAGAATTTGTGATTGAAGTTTTATCATGAGATATCTATTGTTTCTTTGACAACAATTCAATCACAAATTCTTATTAAGCATCTTAATCCAGTCAATGAACAGCAGATTCTAACTTACGGTCAGGTAACTCATGAGTAAGATGATTCATAACTTAGTAAAGTAAATTAATGAGTCAACTTGTAAAGTGAGCCAATGTGGCTTGGTGACTCAGCTAAGTTTGTAGAACTGGTCATTTGACTCTGAAAGATCGTCTTCAGCTCAGAAAGAGGTTGCTTAATTCTAAGAGGCTACTAGAGCCGTAACTGTTCACAGCTAATTGACCTCTTGAAGGTTTTCTATTCTTATTGTTTTAGCATTTTAGTCTATATATCCAGAACTTTATTTGGCTTTAGCTATTCTTTTACTTTTTAACTGAGCTAATCAACTTTGATTTGCTTAGCTCTTTTATGCAATATTAATTTTCATGTAGTAAAATAATTAATATAATTCTTTTCCTATATATAATTCATGTTATAAAACACCTAATATTGGTTATTTAGATTATAAAGTTTTATAAAATAAAATGTTATTTCCATAAAAATATTGTAGTTTATTTTAATGAAATATATCTTTAAATAATATGTTATTAAAACAAAAAATTATTAAATTATATTTTTTTGTGCCCATTCAGTTCCCCCTTAGACTGCCATATTGAATTACTTTATATGTGTATATTGTAGAAATTAATAACTACATTAAGAAAAAGTAATTTTTTTAAAAGGTCCATCCCTTTAATTAAAAATTCTGCATACAGGTCTAGTGAACTGAGTGACATACAATGCAATATGATAATCTACTTGAGATAGATAATATGCCAAAAGAAAGTTTCCTATAGTTAAATTATAATTTATCCTAGATTTCTTTAAGGATTTTAGAATATAAATTATAGTTTTTATATACATCTATACATGAATATCAATATCACTATATAAAATTTCATCTCTGTTTAAATGTTATTTAATGAATGGCTATTTGTACTGTACATATTAAAAACTGACAAAAAATAAAAATCAACTTGCTTGTTAATTTGTGTACATAAAATTAATTTTAAATTAAAATAACATTACCTCCTCTTCTTTCAATAATTTTAACACATTTGTCATTGTCTTTGGGACAGGTGATGGAATGATGAATCCTCCAGTCTAAATAGTCACCACATCCGGGTTGGGTGCTTACACAACTGTAACACCACAGACTTTCACTACCTCCTAAAAAGAATTTATTCAGATTTATAAATAAAACTTTTTCATTTATTCAAAAACATTTTATTCTTTATTATTTTTCTTTAGAACTAATTACCATATTTTTTTGTAAAAATATTAATAATAATCATCTCTTAACACCATATTAATAAAGAAAATCTTGACAATGCAATAAGAGACTACTATTATTCTAAGATCTAGGTTCAAATATGATCAAGTATTTTGTAAATTAGTGATTAAAATATAGCAGGATGCCTCTTCAACACTACCTTATAGAAGTTTTGAAGTGTACAAAAAGTCAAGTACACCAATGATCCCTTTGAGTTATAGTAGTAAAACTACAAAAGGATTTCCAAAGCCAGATGGAGCAAATGAATAGGATCAAAAGAGACACCAGATTAGGACTGTATCAAATTAAAATACAGTATTCACGTAGAATGCAACTTTATATTACTTCTGAATTCTTTAAATTTAGAGACAATTAATTACTACTATATTTAAATGTAAATCCCACATGACCCCTAGATTGTACAAATCCAGTTTATTAGATGAGAATTAAACTTTTTTTTCAAATAAAGATTGTGTTAATCAATGTTTGTATTAAATTCCATTAAATAAGGCATTCAAAGATGTTTTAAGATTAACACCAAACAATTGCCTACAATCATTTGGCATTACTGGAATTTAAAATGTTATTTTTAAAATTCCTGAAATTTTATTTAACAAAGTGGCTATTTATACATACAGTATGTATACTCAATTGGCTATTTAGTACAATTGAACCAGAAGAACCTAAAGAACAAATTCAGTCTAATAAGGAGTCCTGTTCAAATCAATCAAATAAAAATTTAAAATTCAAAACTAAAATTAAAATACAGAATAAAAAAATAATGTATTTATTTTACTTTATTGGTATATCTGTTACCGCTAGAGCTCGAAATCCGTTAATGTGCGCATTACCTAGCTAATCTGCAGATTAACTAGGGTGATCCGTTAAAGCTGCGAAAATTATTCCATTTCTCAAATTACCTAGGTAATGTTCAGATTATCTAGGTAATCTGCAAATTACCTACTAGGCACTCGGTAAAGTGAAAATAAGATTTTTGCTGGAACAACAGCAACGTTTCTGTACGCTTAAATTAACATAATGTTATTTATTTAATTTTCAATATCTAAAGAATCAAGTTAATACAATCAACAAATTAGTTGATTGAATCAATCATCAATCAATTAAAAAAACTTTAATACAAAAATCAAACGGTTTAAAATATTACTACAATTAGGGAAATGAATTTGCAAAACATATGATAAAATTGTACTTACTTATTAGTGCAATCTAAAGATTGGTGACACTTTGAATTACGTAGCAATTGGTTTTTGCGACAAGCACGCCTATTTGTGGTACATTTAGATTTGCAGTCACATTTTCTGAAACCCTGCCCAGTACCAAGGGATTGTTTTATTGCTGTTTGACGTAAAGATATTTCTACAGCAGGGACATCCATCTTCTTTCGTTAAAAATCTCTCTTTGCAAACACTGAATTCAGATTTTGCATACAATTGTTTTAAAATACCTGTTTTAGTATCAAGTTTATAAAAGCCATCCTCTGTTTTACTAAGAACCACAGCTAAAATTGAACGTGCATCAGTTTTTGCTCTGTCTTCTTCGGGTACTTTAATTCTCACAGCGAAACCTTCATCGACGTTTGGGTGCTTTGCATTAGAAACTGCTAACATTTTCTTTGCTTGCTTTTCTAAACATTTCTTGGCTTCATCACGCTGTATTTTCTGATCCATATTCTTTTTACAGATGATGCACAATACATTCTTACCATACCCTTCCTCTTTAGGATCTACTTCACCACAAACTGCGTGAACAAACATATTACACGATTTACACTTGTGAGCACTTGATGCTGCTTTTGAGCAAACAATACAGACTATGTCTTGTATAGTGCTCTTTACAGGCTCCGTACGAAACTGTGATGGCGATTCTGCTGAAGTTGAGAGTAACTCAGTGATGACTTCTTCAACTTGCAGAGGCGATTCCTTGGAGGTGCAGGGTAACTGAATATTCTTCGTGACTGCATCATCAATCAACGGTATAGAAGGCAGTTTAAGATTACTATCGGTAAATTCTTGTATTTCTATAGGTGATTCTGTAGAAGCGGGGGATAACGGAATGTCCTCTTGAGTAAGATTTGACTGTGATCTCATAATCACAGTCTCTTGTGAATCTTCTAATTTTTCAAGGTCTTCTTCAGTTTTTATCGAATGTCAAACAATTCTCCGGCATGGACAAACTTTTTCAAACCTTTCTCGCGCATCTGACAACGGCTCAATGAGTTTTTCACAGCCTCGTACAGTCAACACATCACACCTTTGAATTATTTGATAATCTCGAGATGATTCTTTCTTCTTGGAAACTTTTATTTGCTTTACATCTTCAATTATGGAATCATACTTTGGTTTGTTATTAAAACACTACGTATTATATTTTAAATCTTCGCTAAAGAGGTTTGCGAAGAATCTTTTCTTGATTTTACTCACCAATTCGGTGCTTGCTTGCATTCTAGGATTTAAATTTATCTACGTAAAAAGAAGGAGTGGGGAAAGGAAATGAAAGAAACAAACTTTTGAACTTTAACGATACGGAAGCCGTTAATGTGCAGATTACCTAGATACTCCGCAAATTACCTAGGTAATTTGAGAAATTGAACAATTTTTGCAGCTTTAACGGATCACCCTAGTTAATCTGCAGATTAGCTAGGTAATGTACACATTAACGGATTTCGAGCTTTAGCGGTAACATACCTACCAATCTACTTTAAATTTCATTACCTATATTTCACTGATTTAATGATACTTCATAGTTTATTGATTACTTTATTGAACAACATTGTAACTGAACTTTTAATAAATAAAACTATAATTATTTATAATTGTGTAGTTATTATCAAAATATTAATTGTAATAATAGCGCATACAGTCATTATCTGGCCGGAATATAGGAACATACAATCAGTATGTATAAATAGCCAATGGCATATGCATACTGTATGTATATGCCACATCCAAATTTTAAAAACAACATAATAGTAACAGATTAGTTTTGTATCAACTATAAACATTTGTCATATATAATTTTGGGGAAACTTTTAACCTAAATTTTGTCATTAATGTAGAACTGTATATGGTTTTACATTTAAATATATATACAGTTGTCCCTTGATAGTCCGACGTTTTGTAATCCGACATGCTCAGTAGTTCGACGCACCTCCCATGAAGGTCACCGTAGTCCCTGTCCCCGTTACGTGTGTGCTTGCACAGAAGCATGTCGCTGTACTGTACATTTATTGGCTTCCATATTTCTTTTAATAAACATATTTTATTTAACTGAAATGGGTGTTTCATTTCCATATTAACCTAGGCAGCATTTTACTCATAAAACGTAGGAATATTGTAGGCTACTGCTAGCGAAACAATGCCAAATATGTAATCACTTTCAGTAATCCAGACACTTTTGGTAATCCGACACCCCTTTGGCCCCACACCTGTCGGATTATCAAGGGACAACTGTACAATATATTGTTATAGAACTATATATACATAGCTCTACTGTATTGCGATATCAAAATCTTCTGTTGATGATAATTTCTAATTTAATTTGATATTAACATACCATATTAAATTGGATATTACAGATTTAGAAGTCTCTAAATATCAAATTCGGTACCTCAAATTCTAAGCAAGATTACGTCAACAGAATGACAATTATAATTTATAAAAGGCATAATCATCATCAAAAAGTATATGTCTGAATAGAATTTGAACTTTGATATAGAACTGTGGCTATAAAAAAACCGATTTAATAAATAAATTAATTCAGGTTTTGTCATTTTGTGGATTTTCAAATTCACTTAAATTTACCATCTATTAATTCTAATCGATTCGTTTGATTGTAGATATTAATTAATTTTATAAAATCTATAAGAATTTTTGAATTTCCATCGTAGAATTAATTAACCATTTGTAATAGATTTACTTTTATCGCGTGTGACACAAAGACAGGTAAATGACACTTAAATATTGACATTGTCCCTCTCTCTTCCGTCCATAATAATAATAATAAACCTGGCATTATCTCGATGGAAAAGTATCAAAAACTTAGCATTACCTGTAATGAACAGACTTAGGACGGACAGAATAAAAACAAGCAACTTCATACTGCCACCATTGGGTGTGCCTCTTCCTCCCAGGTAACTGGCATCGATCCTATTGGTTCTTTCGCCCAGGTATTTTACCTGTAGATAACCTCTTACCTGACTGGATGTTTTTTCCCTGTTGCCACTTTGGGAGTTATAAAATTCATCAAAAATCTCGGTTTACATTTTTGATGTTTTTTTTATTCATTAGTTAAATTGGAAACATATTAATTAAAGAAACAATAATATTGTCATCAGCTCAGTTTAGAATACTGTATTTCGATAAAAATAATAAAATGCGCATAGAAAATTTTAAACAGTAACTATTGGTTATTCAAGCAATCGATTTGTATTGTATTATGTATTAAAGTACAATACTTATTTATGCATTCGGGTCTTTTACCATTATGAATCTGCTCTCGTATATCTTCTAAGACGCCATCTTGATTGGGAGAAAAGTATGAATTTATAACAGCAATGAAATTTTTAGTTTAGGTTCGAAATTCATTGTAAAATCGTACTATCGAGCAAAAAGCACGTTGCTAATATTGCAAAAATAAAAATTGGTTAATTATTACTGTTAACACGAAAAAATGTAAACTTTTCTTTTGCTCTTTTTGTTCAATGGGCATTGAAAGGGCCCTTTTATCAAGTCCACTGCTAGTTCGGCCAGGCCCACAAAGAGGTGCCCACATATTCGGGATCATTCCCGAAAAAGTCCTTAGATTTTTTTGACTCGTCCGGATTCGTTCAAGGCCCCAGAGCGGGATGCCGATACCCTAACCGCGCGGTAATCGAACCGTCAAACTGTCATATTTCGCCGTGTAAATTGAAAAATGAATTTTGCGAATCAGGCAACATCCGAAATGTAGGCGAAGTACACTTATGACGGGATCAGAAAAAGTAACACCATTTTAAGATCGGTTCGAAATCGTACCGGTCTCGAGATGATCTATGAAATTATGCCGATGTAGGCTACCTCTAATTTATGTGATACCATTTTAATGACATTTACGAAAAAAGGCAACATTTTACTAAATTGATGTCATTTACCTAAGGGATTTATATTTCCTATAATTATAAGTAGAGAAATAGCATTTATAACGTCACCGAGATGCCATGATCTTGTTCGTTAACGCGGAACGCCAAGTAAGAAAACTAATTGGCATTTTTTAAGACTCCGCTCTGTGGGCACTAAGAGGGCCTCTTTTAGCAACCCCATTATGGGTTCGGCTAGGTCCACAATGGAAATCTAATTGGCTAGGAGGGCGGAGCTAAAAAGTATTCTGGCCAAACGGTGGTCGGATGGCCGAGTGGTCAAGTTGGCAGCCTACCGCTCTGGAGGATCCGGAATCGAATCCGGTCGGGCCAAATAATCCCCAGGAATTTTTCGGGAGGTGGTCCGTTCGGATATATCGTATCCCGTCCCTCACCACCCGGCCGCCCCATTTTGGGCTTGGCCGAACACATAATGGGCTTGTAAAAAGAGGCCCTCTTGGTACAGAAAGGAAAGAGTTAAGAAAAAGTGGCCAAGCGGTCTTCGTCCCTTGACACTGGGAATTCGGTCGAGGGTTAGTGCCTCGCTCGGACGGGCTGGCTATGTGGAGTTTTCCGGGTTTTCTCCACACCTGTAATTCTTTAATGTCTGAATAGGGGCCAGTTTCCCTTAAAAGACCTCCCTAGAAGGCATTCTTTCCCCGTGCGCGTGGCCACTCCATCTATAAGGCCGGCTAATCGGACGCCTAGCGTTCATAATCTCGGTCTCTCGGAGTATAGAGCACTCCATATCAACCAATAAACGAAAGACTAGTTATTAAATTAATTAACAAAGAGGTTATAGTACAATATTGAACACTGGCTCGGGCTTCTCCCGTACTGAGGAAACCGAACATGATCAAAACTATAAAGCAAGAAATGGCTCAGAAAAGTAGAATTGTTCGTAGAATTTTATCGCATGGAGATCCTAAATCCTAACGGAATGTACTGTATAGTACGTCCTTAAGTTATACACTTCTTACCTTCAACGGACGTCATAATTGTGGAGTCGAATATTTCGCGGAAGGTCACGTTTATGACCATGGTCTTATCGACTTTTTTAGCCGTGTAGATAAGTCCAAGCCAGACTGAAAAGAATATTCCGGCCATGGCATCGTATTAAAAAATGATTATCTAAAAATTTCATTTAATGAAAGGAAAAAATAATACTAAGTAATTTATAATATGTTTAAATTAACTTATCAATTATAATATGCAAATAATTACAATGGTGCTTCTAAAATTATGTACAGTATTGTATAATTCTATCCTTCACTTCTCTATAGCCCATTGTGGGCTTGGCCGAACCCACAATGGATTTGAATGAAATGACCTCTTAGTGACCACAGGAAGTTTTTTCTTCTTTTTTTTGAGTACGGAAAGAGACGATTCCTACCGAGATTACCACACAACGTTGGACTAGCAATAAATTTTGTCCCTGGAATGTATACCAAATATAGGCGTACCCCGACACAGCTACCGTCTCCGAAACCACCTAACAATGGACATCGAGTTGGTAGACAATTCGGCGAAACGAGCACTCCGCTTTCCTCTGCCCGACGTGGCCTTTGTCAAACTCCATCAGCCATAGATAACGTCTAACTTCGTTACGCATACATACCCGGCCTTCAAAGACTTCCAAACAATAGGTACGCTAAAAACCCTAAACACACCCTCTTCTAGCCTTTTTACGATATAACGGGTACTATTTTAAGGCACTCTGGTATTATTACACGAGTGCAATCGTATCACAATTGTAGTCATTTAAGTATGCCCGAGATACAGTAGGCTCGTATGCCGAGTTTTAATCGGACAGTTCACAATGCATAACTTTTTTTTTTGTCAATGAGAGTACATCGATAGAATAGTTCGACGGTTCTTCTTGCTTCGTATATTGCAAAACGGTTTTCTTTTTATGCATTAATTTCGACATTTCAAAAATAGGATTCGTCTTCAGTTGATATTTTCATTGGAATGATCGGATGGCATAAATTCACACCAATTGTTAACTAAAAGCAAACATACGCATCTTTTGGTTTCATTTCTAATCACGCGTTTTGATTGTAAAATTACTCAAAATACAGCTTAAAATTAAAAAATTGATTAACTTATGAAAAAGTTTTTCAAAGGAATTTTAGTGTTTCTGCGGAATTATCGACAAATAAAATCGTGTCGTTTCTCCACCAGAGGGATGATGATACATGGAACGGAAAAGCTGGAATATAATGATTTGACAGAAACTTTTGTTTTTAGTTTGAAAATGTAATTTTTAGTTGCTTCTTTTTTCTTATGTCGAAGATGAAAGAGGAAGACGCTCTTTTCGAGTTCCGTTCGCAAATAATGGCGATCAGATTACTAGGAAAACAGATGAATATAGACGACAACACTATAAACGAGTGTTTATCTGACGTTTTCGATTACACAAGAACGTCTACGAAACGTTTTTCTTTACCATTCGGACTGTTCCGTTCCGTTTTTACTTTTTTATCGATTTTAATTAAAACTCTTCTCTTCTTGGTCGTACTTTATGCTTTTGCATCGTTTCACAATCCGACTCACAAATTGATCATGAGGAATTCGCAAAATCTCATCTATCCTTTGATGAGATCTATCAGACTCTCCACTTTGCACTTAATTACAAAATATGGATCGATTACAGGTTATCTCCGACTTTAACACGAATTTGAAATGTTTTATCGCGGTTCTTAATTTAGCTCTTGTTTTTATCATCAGAATGGCACGAAGAGGAATGTCTGTTGCCGAATCCGTTTTACGAAGAGCCCGTTCTTGACTGCTGGCCCTGCGAAGATGTGAGAACGCTGGTGGACCTGACGGGACTGAGGAACTACACGGCGGCGTATTGTTCGAACGAGAAACCGTTCGTCGTGAAGGTAAGAATTTAATTTGGGCCGTGTCGGGCAGAATTTAGAATGGACGATTTATGTTGCTGTCATTACGAGGAAGGACGTGGTGGATTTCAATGTGACGTTGGATCTTCTCCGAGGAATGTACCGTAACCGTTGGGAGGAGTTAGAAAAGGGTACAGCCATGTACATTTCCAACGATCCCCGTGTGGACAGACTTCAAAAACTGTGGTTAAATGGCTCCTCTGCATTTGAAAATCCAAATTTGCATGTTATGTGGTAAGTAAGTACGTATATTAAAGTATGGCATACAATTTCATGTTTTTAAATTTAGCGCATTAAATTTTTCAGGAAAATTAATAGAGTTTTAGCTGCACAAGTAATACGCAAGATATTTAAAAGACCGTATTTTGTTCCAAACAACAGTGAAGTTGCATTACAAAAGTTTTTATGTATAGACGGTCCCGAATCTCCACAGTATAATTTGGTAAATTAATTTTTTTTTAATTTTGTTAAAAACTATTACAATTGAAGATACATTCAAAAATGTGCTCTATAGCCCATTACAGACTTTGCCGACGTTTGGGTAATGCAAGGTCAAGGATCTCGCATACTGGTTTTGGATCCCTCGCCTCCGTGCAACGAAAATTGTTCTTCGGTTTCGATACTTTTAAATCCAGGAAATATTTGTAAGTATTTTGTTTCGAAATAGTATTTTATTAAGCATAGTTATCAATAATTTCTATTTAGACTATTGCTTAGAATAGTTTGACATCTTTCTAAACTGAAATATTTTTTGATATGAAATCTAAAAGATGATCAAAAATAGTCAGGTTCTTTTCTGTTAATGGGATGTCAGTTGTAACTTTAATCTGATACGTGATACTGTCATCTGATAAAACTATCACGTTTAACTATTTAGCCCATGCAACTGTGCCAACTTCAAGTAGCCCACTTAACTGTTTGTAGAGTATTTGATGTTATATAGTTTTAGGGGGTGTGGAGGCTTGCCCCACCTGTGTGCTTTCTGCTTGCTATTGCTTGCATCTGAGCTTTACCACTCAGAGAGCACAAAAAGGCCAATGCATAGTAAGTTTATCTACAATCTATGATACTTCCATATAATTATATTTTAGCTTATTTGTGGCACAGTGTAGAGGTGGGCTGAATGAACTGACCTTGCCAGCCCCTGGCTGTAGTTTGGTAACCGCTGGTTTAGATTGAAGTGCCTCCATGCTATAAAAGAACATTAGACCAAGAACAACTCTAATCTGATTAATATGACTTTGCTTTTACAGTAACACATTTTTGGTATCCTGATGGATGGATGTTACCTCACAGCAAATAGCATCTTTCAATTCCAACAATGTGGAAGGACCTGATTGAAACACACTGAACTTTAGATATAAACATCCCTATAAACCTGATGCAATGCAGTAACTCACCAATATCCCCATAATGAGAAATCACACTGAAAATCATTTTCATTGCTGCTTGCATGTCTGTCTGTTGTATTTCAATGGTATCTACCAGTAATGTTTGGAACTAATTTTTTCCTATCAACAAAAACCCTATGCTGGACAATACTTATGGAAACCTCATTTCATTCTGATTTAATTCTTCCATTTCTTATGAATGTTTAGTTTTTACAGACTTTTTATACATCCTGTATATATATTAATAAGTTTATATACAGGCAAAAAAATATCTTTCAATTTCTGCAATTATCCAATTCAAGTTAAACAGTATGAATTATTACAAAAGTTGTTCTAGCCCTTGGTATACTTATATTAATTAAATTATCAACAACTGTGAGGCAGATAGAGATAGATGATTGTTTTCACTTTGATCCCTATCTCTATCTCTATCATGTTTTGTTGATAATTTAATTAATATAAGTATAAATTGTATATATATAAAACCAATTAAATGCTATTTTGATATCTATAATATAATTGATAGTTTTGTTTTATATAAAACTAATGATCAGACATGTAATGAAAAAGGAAAAACAAGCTTATTCAAATATCTATCAAGAATAAAATCTTATGTATTGTCCAGAGAAATTGTTGTATCAAAAATTAGTAAATTTGGCATTAACCAGCTTGTCTGATAAAATTTCCCAACAGTTTTTTGCACAGACTAAACACCAAATCACAATCACTATCTATGCCTTTCTTTACACTGACAGAATCTACATCCTTCACATTGTTGCATAATGCAAGGTCATAATTTTTACATTTATATATTGTGTCTGTATTAGTTTAATTTTAAATGAGATAAGAAAAGAATAACAATCTCTATTTGCTTTTTATCAGAAACACTTTGATATTGAAATATTTATTTAAACTTAACACAATATAATTATTATATTAACTGTTAAAAATACCACAATCTAAAACAATAGGACTTGAACTATTTTTAGGAGAAAAATTGTTCCTGCCAAAATTATGTAACAACCATTTGAGTATCTGGCTAATAAAAGCAACAATTTTTCTGCTATTTTTTTCTATAAAAAATAAATATGCTAATTTATTTTTCCACAACTTTAATATGTAATGTCCATGAAAATTCTTTTTCTTAATATTTTCATTTAGTGTTAAAAAATAAAGAATACGTCTAGATTAGTGAGTTTACTTGTGTAAACAAAGTCAAAAGTTAATTCTTAATGTGTCCAAATCTGTGAAATAATAGGAAAAAAAAGCTATAATTTTATACAGACTGACTGAAAATTTAAGTGATTGTTATAAATTTTTGTCTTTGAAGGATTTGATTTGTGTTTGAAAACATTTTAGACATTTATTATAAGAAAAATAAAATATGTATAGGAAAAAAAGTGAAGTAGATATAGATGTTTATGAAGTAGATATAGATGTTTAACTTAATGAAAAATTTAGAACATTTTTAAACAATACATTATATAGTTGTCTATTCAGCAAGTTTTATCAAGAACATCAAAAAATTGCTTCTATATTTCTGTTTTTAAGATTATTACTTTTTAAATCAGATAAAATTAGTAAATTAGGCAAGTATTCAAATCTTGAAATTGTATTAACTTTTTATATACAATCTATAGCATTTCACTTTCATGTAAATATGATCCTGATAATACTGGGTTGTTTGGAAAGTAATTTTGTTTTTTTATTACTAGAGGAATTAGATGTATATTTTACCAGCCAATTTCCTTTTAAACCACATTCTCATTATATATTTTGACAGCTGATATTTAAAGGCTTATTTGTAAAAATTTTTGTTTGATTCTGTACAATTTTTTTTTTGGTGTTTCATGAAATATGGAAAATCAAAAGCATCATTTTTGGCATATTTTGCTTTTTCATTACCAAAAATTCAAAATGCTGTTCAAGCAAGAAAAAAATTGTGTTACATGTGTTGAGAGAAAGACATTGCCAAAACTGGTTTACAAAATTTCGTTCTGGCAATTTCAATATTGAAGATGCACCATGTTCTGGATGGCCAGTTGAAGCCAATGAAAACAAAATAAAGGTACCGATTGAAGCAAACTGTTGAATAACAACATGTCAAATCACTAAGAGACTAAATTTGTCGAATTGAACCGTTTATGATTACTTGAAACAAATTTGTTTTGTTTCGAAGCTCTACATGTTCTTAAAGAGAGTTGCTCTCTCTTTGGTGGGATTTTAAGGAAATTTTTTTTTTGGAGCTTTTACCACACAATTTAACAATTGATTTGAAAGTGTACTGCCATTGAGTAAACAAATTGAGTAATATCATCAAACAGAAAAGGCCAGAATTGACCAACAAAAAAGGTGTAGTGTTTTACCATGATAATGCCAAATTTCACACAAGTTCAGTAACTTGTCAGAAATTGTTACAGCTTAGGTGGAACGTGCTATCACACCAATCATATTCGCCAAATTGAGCACACACAGATTAATTCTTGTTCCCGTCTATACAATTTTTTTTAACTAAGACATTTACTTGAAATGACAATGTCAAAAATCACTTGGATCAGTATTTTGTAAGCAACGATCAAAACTTTTATGAATGTGAAATCATGCTACTACCAGAAATGATGACAAAATGTATTCGACCAAAATGGTCGATATATAATTCAATAAAATATTTATTTATTATAAAAATATTGTTTTTTTTCCATGGAAAAAAACAAACCTACTTTCCGAACAATCCAATAGAATGAGTTATAAGAAATATAGAGTATAACTGATGGAAAATAAATTTTACTTCTTGTAATAAATGTTTTTCTGACTATGGGATGAGACCTATCCAGAAACTTATGCTTTTATAGTTGTATAATTGTAGATTTTAATTGCTATATATTCTTTCCACTTCATGGATTTTAACAGTATTATAAATTTTCTCTTCAATTTTGCTTAAAAAAGATATTAATTTTATTTATGTTTAAAAATAATGTTCAAAATAATTTTTTTTTTCAGTATATTATAACTGGCAGTTCTGGAGACCACGATCTTTTCCATCGAGACTGTCGAAAGAACCAAGTATCACTTTCATAGGATCCTTTTATTAAACAGTTGGAAATAGAAAAGTGGAGATGAAATCTCTTGATTAAAAGTAATCTTAGTTTTATTTATGAATACTTATTTCTTCTATAAAATATAATTAATGTAAAACTATGCAACACTTTGTATTAATTCTTAAATGTCACAAGAATAAAAATCTTCTTTAATTAATTTAAACAACATGGATTTTTTATATGTTTGGTGTTTGTGGTTAAATTTTCATTTCAAACTTTTATCCACATTTACATATTTTAAATATTTTCATTAGATATGATACAAGTTTTATTATTTACAATCAAAATAACAAAAATAATCCAAATGATGAGTTTTAAGCATTAACAATTACATACCATTGCTAAGTATTTTAACAGTTGAAAGTGGCAATGTATTGCTTGATTTCACTATACATGGTTTGTTTGCAATAAGTTGATCTTACCATGTAATGTAATCACTGTTCGCTTGAATTGATAATAACTAACTAATGTCATTTACTTATGTCATTTATTATTATTACATCCAATGGACTCTACTTTTATTGACTATGACATTAAAAGGACACATTAATTAATTTTGTTTGCCTCCTGGGTTTTATAGTAATACCTTTCACAACATATAACTGAAGAAAGAAATGCCAATAATTTAAGCAATTGCTGGCAATTTTTTCTTCAGTTATACTGCAAGAAAATAATGTTTAGAGCACTGATAATGATCATACATTATCAGTTGTTTGTTGAGGCAGCATAAAAATACCTATTTATCAGAAGATGAATGATATAACCAGTGTTTTAGTAAGTATAACTATATGTGCTAATTCTGATAGTAATATCTGTGATTACATTAAATGTGCCGTAGTAGCCTCTTATTATATCATAAAAGAAATGAAAAGAAAGTTCATCTAAGATCAGTAATTCTTCCAACAAAAAGTACAGTAACACCACATTATCAATGATTTTAAATAAACACACAAATTTAGATTAACTGAGATGTCAGCGCCCATACCTCACTACCCAGCCACCCTTCATTATGAGCTTGCAAAGAAGCTCTCTTGCATGCAGGGCAGAATAAATTTAAATTTGTTTAATTTTGAAATCAATAATAAATATTAGACATTTATAAACAATATAAATTTTAACAGCTTTACTATGGTACATACCACAGTTGGCTTATGATATACAAAAATATATCTATGATTCTTAATAGATGTAATGAAACAAAATGTTTTAATTTATAAGAAAAATATTTCTCAGAAATTGACAATACTATGTTTAAAGAATTATTGGTGCAATAAAAAATTTTCAAAATCACATCTATTTCTAATTATTTTGTGTCTAATATTTCTATTTAATTTTTTATCATCATCATCATCAACATATTTATACAAATATTCAATATAAATTTCTTGATAAATATTATAATTCATAAATTATAAATTTCTGAAGTCAATTGTGATTAATATTTTTAAAATATAAAATGTTTATTTTCTAGTTACTGTGTGGCACTAATATAAAAAAATTTTTACAGCTATTAACATAAGATTGAACTATTCACATCAGGATTGTTGAAGATGGGCTGAAAAATATATTTATTTTTAATGTATAAATTTATGAATAGAAATTATAAAAAAATTATGTAATTACTTAATTAAATAACTCACATTCTTTAGGAAGCCGTAGCGATTCTAAATCATTAATTGTAACAGTATGTGGCAGATTTCGAAATTTATAAAAAATAACTAGGTATTTGTCTTCTCCAAAACAAGGATCATAAAAACCTGGCAGATTACTCTATGAAATATATTATAAATTCATTTATAATACCTTACAAATACCAATTGAGTGATATTGTTTACTTTGCTTTAAATTTTACCTTGGAAGAGTCTGTTAATACCAAGCGAGAATCTTTTACTAAACACTGCAATGGAATCAGAACATCGACAACCTGTTCATCTAAATCTTCCGAACTAAAACAAAATAAAATATAATTGTTAAAAATAATTTGATATTTGAATTTAGAGAAATTACAAAAGACATTAAAGATTATCTCAGAAGATAGAACTTTGTTAATTATTGATAAAGTTCCATCTTCTAATATAGCATTTTACATCTTTTGGCCATTTCAATGAAATACTCATAATTTTATTAAATTTAAAAATTACCTTCTATTTTCAATGCCTATTAATTTTCCATACAATGCTTTAGTAATGACGAGGCCACTTTTTGTCTCTTCTTGTTCTCTAATGCGATTATATGTTTCTTGCATTAAAGAGATCTAAAAAATTCAACAATTATATAAAAACTCATAAAACATCTCTAATAATTATATAGAATTATTTCAGTCAGAAGAAAAGAATAATCTTGTTATTAACAAAATATAAAATGCTGAATAGTTGAATTGGTTGTCATCCATCAATTCTTCAAACTGTTTCATATAGTAGATATAAAACTTTAACTTATTACTTTCAATAAATTTTTACTGGCTGTTGATTTTTTTACAATTATATTACTGTTTTGTATCAGAGAATATGACACCAATCAAAGAAAAATTGTGGAAATATGTAAAAGGAGATAAATTGTTGTATTTTTTATTAATGCAATAATTATGATATCATAGCCATATAAACCCATTTGGCTTTACTAAATATTAAAGATTGTAAAGTAATTAACAACCTAATAATTAATAAGTCATTAATTAGGATAATTTTGTATTAAAGATAATTTCATCTGTCAATTATTATGTCTATTGATTATTATAATTCCTTAATTATTGTTATTTAATATAGGAATGCTCATTCAGTTGAATCTACCAAACATATATTAACACAAACTAATATATAATTATGAAAACTGATTATCACTTTGCCAACCAATCTAAGTACCATTTCAGGACTTTTTTGTGAAATTATTTCACAAAAAAATCCTCAAAGAGTACTTAGATGAATTATTTGAGTGTCCATAAATTATTCTTGTTTTCTAACTAAATTTTAACAAATCTTTTAGGTGACAGAATAGGTATATTCCAACAACTTGTATAGTTTACCTTCCTACACAAATACACATAATATATGTTTATATAGTAGGTGTATGTATTTTCAAGTTTGAGGATTAACTGCTTAATGTAAAAGTTGTTTAGTAACTGCTTTCCTTTTTTGGATTAACAATATTTTAATAATAATAATAATACAGTTATAAGTAATGTTTGTATCATGATATTAATTACTTTAAAAGATCAGAAAAGAAGCTATCAAAGAATATAAGTTTATATTCAAACATTGTGAAGTAAATCATTTGTTCTGCTCAATACTATAACAACATAATGTTATTTTCAATAAATCTAAAAAATAACTCACAGCAGCTTTGGCTTCCTGTCTCTTCTCAGCTAATTTTGCAGCATTTGCTTCCTGTGCCTTCTGCGCTTTTCTAAAAAAGTTTCAAACCATTAAAATGATTTCATTTCCCCTATTATAAGATAATTAAACTACTAACCTCTTCTTCTCTCTATTCACATAAGGTTTGATGACCACCACTTTAACCACATACCATGCCACCAGAGGCACCACAGTGCCATAAAATATGGCACTTGGCAATATTTCCTCGGAAAGCTGGAGAGGAAAGACATACATCTGACTAGCACGATTGAGCCTTAAAAAAATTAAAGAATTAAATTATAAAAAATTTTTATTGTTTTTATAGGCATTCAAGTTTTAATAAATTATATTATTCACAATAATACAGAGTATGTTGGATTATTTTAGCTTGCAACAAATTATTTATTTATATTTTTTGAATAGACAAAATTCGTTCTCAATAGTCATTAAAATTTGTTAGAAAAGCTCAAAGATCTCATCATTTTGATGTAAACTTTTGGGAATATTTGTTGGATGACCCATTCAAATATAAATTCAATAGTTACAGTTCAATTTAGTCTTGTCTGACAGACCAAAAATCAGATTTAAAAAATGTTACCAAAGGAAAATACTGAAAGTAGAGCTATACAATGAACACACAAAATGCAAAATTATTAGAAATGAAGAAGTGACCAACTGCTCCAAAATGTCTTAATATAACACTTACATAATAATAAACAAATATTTAATCTTCAGATTAAAATAAAACGAATTTAAAATATAATTAAAGTGCTATCATGTATTATAAACTACAATTATTATTTCTGATGATACAGTATCATATATAGTAGTTAGTTATGTGATACAATTTTTTTAAATATTGGATTTGCAAAAACAAACTACTATATTTCTGCCATTTTGAGGAAACATAATATTTGTCCAAGTATTTTGAATAAAATGCTTATGTAAACATTACACTTCTGCAAAACTTTGGTTATTAGTGCAATCTACAGGAATTTTGTTTCTATGTGCTACTGACTAGTGTTGTCTGTATTGAGACTGTTGAATTGGACTAGATATGTAAATTAACAAAATACAATGTAAAATTTTTTTATAGTTTAATAGCTCTTACATTTTAAAATAAGTATTTTCAACAATTATAAATTTTGTTTCTTTGTTTTTGTATTTAGAGTTATTGTGAAATTGAATGAAACATTAATTTCACATCTGTATTTGCTCAGGAGTTTTTCAGTCATTTTATCACATACAGATGTCCAATTTTTACATTTCTTTCTATAAAATAAACTCTTTAAACACAAATTTCTGATCAACTAGATACAATTGAGCCATTCACAAGCCAAATTGATTAACTCCATACTGTAATGTAAATCTACCAGTGCACACTGCATCATTGCAATTGCAGTGTTATCTACAAGCCAATGCCTTGTAGATAACAGTAAATTATTTAATGTTATCTCATCACATAAAGTAAGTAAAAGAAATTAGTTACAGTCCAACTATCACAGAAGTAAGTATACTTGTGGAATATTGAATAATTGTTTTAATTTGGTGGCAATTATTTTAAGGGAAAAAAAAACGTTATACAGTTATATCAAGATGGATGAAATTAAAAATAATTGTTTTAAGAATAAACTGACATGATGGGACCTCACTCAATTACAGCTGACAAAGAAGACATTGTTCATGTTGCTGAATAATCAATTTAAAGAAAATAACAACAACAACCATTGTAACAATAAGAGAAGTTATTATTCATTTTTGCAAAAAACTTTTTATAAACAATGGACAATAATGAAGCTTCTCTATAATAAAAAACTATGTGAAAACTGAATTTGATATTACTATGTTTTTCACTTGACAAATCAATTAACTCCATTAATCACACCAAAATCATAATAATAATAATGATTATAGCATATCTATGCTATCTTATACATTTTATGTGTTGTTAAATAAAAGCTACATCTACAATAATACATTCTATAATGTTTATTTGAATTTATATTTTAAAAGGAATTTTAAAAAAGAATGTATATTACTTTGTCACTTTAACTCCATAAAACAAAAAGTGGTGAAATCAGTTTGGCAAGTGAGTGGCACAATTATATATGTGATTTGTAAAAATTACTAAGAAAGCAGTCAAAAATTCATATATGCTAATTGATTCCCAGACATTTTTAAATGCAAATTCAAAAAATCTTCACTAAAGTAATTTTCAAAAGAGAAAAATATAATTGAATGCAATTTTCATAATTAATCACATAGGTAAAAAGTTACAAAAATCCCACATAATTTTTGTAAAAGATAAAACAACAGTAGAATTATGAAAGAAAGTTGGTGAAGACAAAGATTTTAAGAAAAGTGTTACCAACAACTTAGACAAAACAGATGATGTACTTTTTAAAGAAACTTGAGGACCATGGTGGCAATGAAATAGAAAACAGGAATGATGGAAATGAAAGTTTTAATGAAGATGAAAGTTATGAAGTATTGTTTCAACGACTTTCCAAAATTTTTTTTAAATACAAATTGCTAAATTTTTTGTAGGAAATAAAATTAATAATAAAAGGTTGACTTACATTCAAGCCCTAATTTTTTCAAAATAAAAATTCCAAAACTGGGAGTAAATCTATATTTGGCCCAATATAGCATATTTGTAAATGACTATAGGTTGGCATGATTTACAAATGTAAAATTCATTTATTAATTATTTGATTAACATTCAATAAATACCTTATCATTTGCAGCTGTTTAACAGAATTTGTTTGAAATTCAGAATTCACACTCTCAAGAATGAGAACAATAGATGTAAGAGTAGAGACAAGTAGGAAATCATAGAAATGCGTGTTTTGCAGAGACAAGGAACCAATCTAGCCATTTATAAAACTCACCTAATTTTAAGTGTCACTCCAGCTGGAATGCCAACCACTAAAGATGCACCCAAGACACTGTGCTTTGATACCTTAGTTTCGCATCCATACTCAACTTGTACTCCAAATGTGCCCAGTCTAGAATTAAAATTAATATTGTAAATGTTTTATATTTCCTAAAGAAAAGATAAATAAATAATTTAATTAGGAAATCATTAATAAAAAAATACAATAAAAATAAAGTAATACTTAAAAAATCCTATGATTTGATTATGTAATTATATCTTAACTATTTGTTGATTGAAACAATAAGTGTTCAGGTGTTGTTGTATTTGAAATTCAAAAGAAATCTTATCCAGCATCAGGATTAACAATGTCAAGTGAAAACTGCTTGCACGTAAGCAAGTTGGAATGTAGCTCATAGCTATGCACACCACAAATCATAAAACATATTTTTTTAAAATTAATTCTTTAAAATAACAACACATGCCTCAAAATATATACAGAGTAATAGTAATATAAGTAACAGAGAAACTATTTGGTAATTGAAAACAAAGAACTACTACTAGAACTCACTTTAGTGAACCCTGAATCTGTCCATCCTCATGCAACTTCCGACTGTAGCTCGCCATGATGAACGTGTCAGGTATACCAAACTAAACAACAAAAACAGGAGAAAAATTTCAAAAACTCAATAAATTTTTTATAAATAAAAATCCCAATGTGATTTTGCAGCTTTTTATTATGGTTTTAGATAATTCTTTTTTTTTTGGTACTTTTATATACATTAATGAATGTAAATATGCAAATTAAAAAGTATGTATTAGTAAAGCAGTTTCACTAACTTGTTAGAAAATGCCATCTTTTTATGACAATCATTCAAGAAATGCTATCTTTGATGAAAAATAAAAAGAAAGACATTTTAGAATATGCATTTTTATTTTAAAACAATCAAAAACTCCCAAGAAGAGTATAAAATGTTATATTATATACAGTAATACCTAATGCTAGTAAAAAGATAACTGCATAGAATGCAACTAATACACTCAATTTTATAAGCAATATTATTGGCACAGTAAACAGTGTAATAGTAGCCAAGGCTAGATCATATCCCTAGCACTACTAATATCTAATAATGTTTACTCTAATAGTCTATGAACCATATTTACTCAAATCTAACATGCACTGTCAGATTTGAGTAAATTCACACCTAGTGCATCAGAATCAATGATGCACTAGATGTGAATGTAAACTTTAAAACTTTATTTAACACTTTGCCATATGACATTACACCAACAGCCCTTCAACTTCCTTCTTCTCCATCACTTGGTGTCTATTATTTAGCTTCCTTTACCATCTTCTGTTCAAGTTACATCATCATTCTCTAGCCTTTACATATCTAATTTTAGTCAAAATTGTTTTTGAGAGATTACATGTATTGTACCTAAGTGCTTGGTGCAGACATGCTGTATAGTAACAGACTACCTTTGGTTTCAAGGTTTGAAAATTGGCTAAACATTAGATTCAAGTAAATACAGTATGCAAGATCCAAACAAAACTTTTAATTTTTTACCTTATATTTTGAATTTTATACTCAATTAAGATAAAAATACAATGCATAAAGCTAAAAAAAACTTCCTTTTCTCTAATTATGCTTTCATTGTTTCATTGAAAATAAGAAAAAATAATTTGATTTTTATTAAATATATCATATTGTCATTTTTGGTAAAGTTTTAAACATTCTTGTATTTTACATTTTGAATTTCACAATAATTCAAGGTAAGTGACTTAACCTTTGAACTCATTTCCAAATGCAGGGCTGTGGAGTTGGAGTTGGAATTGGAGCCGTGGAATTTTGGTGTTTTAGTCGGAGTTAGAGTCATCAAAAATCCACAGACTCAGACTCCTTTTTACTTCCCCAACTTGTTATGTATATAAAATGGAAAGGTATTGGAATCATACCAAATTTGACCCTCCACATTTTTTGCAAATCTACATGTTTAAAGACCTCCCAAACCCAAAAGAAATGTCAATTAAAAAGGAAAAATTCACGTGAATGTGTGTGTTGGCGTCTAATTTGTTTAATTTCTTTATTCTCTGTTCTGAGATATTAAACAATATAAAGTTTAAGAAATAAAATTTGGCACTGTAGCTTGTGTATAAAAGGGCTACTTAACTTTCTATGCATATAACTTTGTGTACAAAAATGAATTTTTAAAAAAATTTTAATTAAATGTCTTAAAATACAGTCCATAATAAATATCAATTTCATTTTATACTTTAAATTTCCTATTATACTATGTTTCATTTAATATTTATTTAAATAATTTTAACATCTATTTAATCAAACTACAGAAATATTCTTTTAAATAATTTTTTTTAATTATCTTTTTTAAACATATATTTAAATCAGACAAATTTATCATTTGTTTGGTCATAATTTTATTTAGCCTGCCAAAATATTGATATAATGAAAAATTTGCTTCTAGAAAAACGTATTTACAAGAATGTGTAGTTTACATTAATGGCATATGATTTTCTTTCAAGTATTTGCAAGAAAAACTATACACCATTAATGTAAACTAGTATTTTTAACTGAAAATGTTTTCACAGAATATTTAAATACAGCCATACCTTGCAGAATGTGTCTTGGTTTTTAATATCCAAACTTTGTGGAACATAGTATACCTCTATGTATATCTCTCAACATATCTTTCAGCAGATATTTACAGAAGAAAAAATTTATATTTGAGGTGGAATGTTAACTAAGCCGCTTCTATGTGGCTTATAAAATTGAGTTTGTTCTGAAAATTTGATTGCTTTGATTTTGATCAACTTTCTCATTTTACATAATATGAGATGAGGAAATAAAAAATGTAATAAAAATCAGGGGTCTATGATTTAGTTTGACAAGCTAACTAGCACGAACACAAGCACTTGCAAATTTTTAAAAGTTCTTTTTTACAGCAGTGGCAATAACATTGCTGCAGTAGTGGTAGGTGATCATCATAAATGTCCCTGAAACATTATTATTGACTTGCTAGCATTTGAACTGAATTCTTAGTTCATGTTCAGACAGAAAACAAACCGAGCCTGGTTATGTCAAAAAAACTGATTTTTAACAAAATGACACAAGAAAGTCAAGCCAACTAATGCCATACGTCATCAAGCTAGATAATGGTTATAATACTAATAAATTATGAAACAATTTGGTACTAGAGGAAGGCATTAGGCACCATCTCTTAAAAAATTTAATAATTATAATTTTCAATTAAATAATTTAGAACCAAATTTAAATTCAATTATAATCTACTATAATCTAGTACCAATTGTTTCATAATTTATTAGTATTATAGCCAACCAATGACATACAACATTGGTTGGCTTGTAGTTTTATAATGTATCGGGTTTTAGTGATGATGTTTGTTTACAAGAAAGTCATTTTAATTTTATATCAAAATAATGTATAGATGTTTTGAAAAGCATGTCAAGTGTCAAAAAACAATGTTTGTGGTATGGTATGCAGTTTGCAAATGTTACTGCATACAATACAACTGTTTAATAATAATAATATCTATTTACATTTATTATCATTACATATATTTTACTCATTATCATTCATTCATTTTCAATTACTAGTTTCTCTGACAATGTTAATTTATATTAACCAATTGAATTGGTCTTTATCTACTCTACAAATAAAACAACCAAATATCAATTGTTTGGTGATCAAGAAGTGAGGTTTTAAGCATTTTATATTCTAAAAATTTGTTTGTTACTTATATATAAAAATTTTACTGCATTTTAGTTGTAATTTAAGAAATCAATAAAGATTTTGAGTTGATGTTTGATCATTTGTTTTCTGAGGTGTACATATATGCATTAATTTGAAAACAATTTAAGTTCAAATTATTGGAAACATGTTCATTTCACTATTTGTATGGTTTTATTTAACTTATCATCATCATAAATATTGGTTATTTGTATTCATTACAAAGAATATTAATAAAGTTTATATACTTACTTGCAATGCACCAACAAAGTGCCCAACATTGGAATCCCACACAACTGTTGTAGTCATGGATGATCTGTGTCCTGTTTTCCAAGTAAGATAACCTACAGTATGTTTATCGAGCTGTCTGGCTATCACTAAATCAAGAATAATATAAATTAATATTTTCTAAATAATAAATTCTAAATAGAATAACTGATCATACATCAATTTATTATTATTTAAAATGTGTATAAGTTCAATAACATATTAAAATGTATATTCTTTTCAATCATAAAGCCTGACCAAATGAAAATAGATTGTGCAAGAAATAGCATGAAAAGTTCAACATCATCATGAACTGCCATGCTTATTGCACCACTGATTCATGGTATTATAAAGTTTGATTCACAATGAATTACCAAACTCTTTATGGCTCTTCTCAGAAATTTTTATTTTCATTTGATCACCTGGTATGTAAAGAAGTTGGTTAAACATTTTTGAACATTCTCTAATCAGCTCAAAACTTTTTCATTAAACATACAAGTTATAATAGAGAGTTACAATAAAAAAAGAACAAACATTAATTGTAAGAAATTCAACCAAAACATTATTTTCTGGATTGTTATATTTTAAGTTTTTTCTTATTTTGGGGAGTTTGTTTTGTTCAAAGGGTAAAACACCTGCACCCTTCATTCAAAATTGATCTTCATTTTAAAAACTGATAGCAGGTCCCAGTCAAAAATGGCATCTATAATTTAATTTATTACAAATGGTCATTGAATGATTATGTCACAGGATAACCTAATCAACATAAAATAATAATATTTTGTCAAATGTAAGATGAGATAATTGCCAGTAAGAAAGAATTGTAAAATAATTGTTAGCAAATGTAGATGAATATGCAATAAACTTAGATGTATGATGTCACATTCAGTACTTTAAAGGCTGCTAAAAGCAGAGCTAAAGTGTACTTTCCAGTTAACACCAAGCGTGATGAGTAGGTGATTGGTTTGTGAAGAGTTGCAATTTGTAAGTTAGATCTAAATTAGAAGTTAAGAAGCATTTTTTAGCAGATAAAAGTTGTTAAATTATTTTGCTGCTGTTGTTTAAAATAATAATTAATTTTGTTAAAACTAAATTTTTTCTACAATTATTGTCATATTATTTAATGCATTAGTGTTGATTAAAACTTTGACAAAAATTTGCTAGTTATAAACGAACTACTGTAAATTTTATAAATGTTAAATTTTATTGTTAACAAGTCAAATTTTGCAACTATTTATTTAAAATTAAATATAAGGTCCAGATTGTAACTTTATACAAAAATAAACTGTAAAAGTATTCTCGTTTGTACACCATCACGAAATAACAATTTCATGGCAGAGTTGACCTTTATTTGGAAGCTTTTTGTCTGCCTTAACATGAAATATGTTACAATCTTCCCTCTGACGGCAGCTTAGACATTTATAAAAATTATAAATTAAAAAAGTTTTTTCTGGGAATAAGTATAAACTTAGAAAATTTTTAAAAAATTTTTAGTGGATGATCTGTAAAAGTGTTCTCCTTCATAACATTTTGCATGTCAAAGCAGATGAGAATCTGCCAAATAAAGGTCAACTCTTCCGTAAAATTGTTATTTCTTGGTGGTGTATGAAGGAATTACAAAGGAGGACACTTTTAGAATTTGTTCACTAAAAATTTTTTAAGATTTTCTATGTTTATACTTATTGTCCCAGCAAAACACTTTTAATTATGGGCCTGGCCCATTGTGGCTCCATTGTGAGCCTGGCCCATTATGGGTTCGGCAAGGCCCACAATGGAGCGACCGGGTGGTGAGAGATGGGTCCAACACATCCAAACGGACCACCCCCGAAAAATTCCTGGGGTTTCCTTGATCCGTCCAGTTTCAATCCAGGGATCAGACAAGGTGGTAGACTGCCACCTTGTCTGATCGGCCATCCAGCCATCAATTTAAAATGCTTTCATTAACTATTATTGATAAAACAGAAACTAATTAAAACTAATCAAGTTTGACAGAAAACTTATAACTGGTCATAAAATATAAAGTTTATGTACTTACTTGTGCTTAATCCAGGCCTAATACCATTTGGTGTAAATTGTAAAATTCCTTGCATATTGCTAAAACTAAAAAAAACAACATTAAAGTAATTGTGTTGTTACTAATAAATTATCTACTAATATCATTATTGATTTTTTAAATAAGTAAAAATTATTTAAACAGCATAATATAATACATAAATTATTCAATTAATTATTTAAATTCAATTAATAATTTTTATACATAAAAGTAGTGTGTCTGCACATCTACATACAAATAAAGACAATTTATTACAAAAAACAATATTGTAATGTTCATAATGCCATATTTTTATAATAAATTACACAAACAGGCTTCAATTAACACAATACATACATTTATACAGTTGACAGTAGTGCCCAAGTGAAAACAATTTAAAAGAAAATCTATATCCCATAAAACACATTTTAAGTTATTAGATACATTCCTTGGTCCCAAGCTACATATCTTAGGTTCCTCTGACTGTTATTGTTTAACTCAAAGAATGATGAATCAGCAGTTTATCATCTGAGTGCTAAAACACTTCAAACTCTCACTATTTGTATGCCAAACATGAATGGTGCTAGAGTGGGGTGAGTGACTATCCATTCTAAAATCTCAATGGACACCTATCCATCCACACTGTAATAATTTATTCAAGTCTACCTATACTGACTATTATTGCAGGATTTGTTTAAATATAAATTGATTGTTTATCAAGTAATTATACATTCTCACTAAGCTTTTTTCTGCTTATATATCTTACTGAAAAGTAATCACTAAATTTTAAATGATAAAATTCACAGATAATACCTATCCAACTAAGACAATGTTCCATCCCATCTCTGTCCTCCTAGAATGAAAATCCTAGTGCCAAATAAATACTATTTCATGTAAATTGTGTGTGTTGTGATGATAAAAAAAATTAAGGTTACAACAGAATATCTCAAAATGCTCAAAATAAATTTTTGATGTTAGTTCCTTGATCAACTTCTTTCAATTGCATCATAATTTTATTTCTGCAAATATCCCCTTTGAATAGAGAAATAAACTCTTTCATGAGACTTCCATATGTAAAAAAAACATAATTATAATATCCTCTAAGTGGTACCTACAAGTGACCTTCCCTGAAGCAATGTTATATAGAAAAAAGAAAGAAAAGGACATGCATTACAAGAAATCTCTATAATTAATAAACCATTTGACAATAAAAATGTATTAACGGAAAAACAATAATCAAAGATACCCATATTATAGTCTATGTTTATTAATATCTCAAATTGCTTATGGAACATTAAAATTTACATTTCAGAGCATTTTCAAAAGCCATATTAAAATTATACCACCAGAACTTTCTTATATATCTTATATTATATAACTAAATGCAAATTATTTTATTCAATCAATACACAATCTCTAGTTTCTATTATGATAAATATTTTTTGATTACCATCTATTTGATATTCTGTGGAACACTTTTAAAGAACTCAAGAAACCTTGTCCAGCTCCCACTTCAAACTGAAATAAACAACTCAATTTTTAATTATTGCTAATACACATAAACAATAAAAAATATAAAGATATGAAAAATATTATCAAATAATCTTTTAATTAAGAAAAAAATGTGAAAATTTTTTATCTACTAGATATTATCAAATTAGCTTATAAATTACTAAATTCATCCATTCAAAAAATTTCAATTACTTTACACTTTTATCTGTTTTGAATACCAAATTTCGTCCAATTATGCACTATCTATTAATGTTTTTTAGTCATTATAAATAGCATTGTCTAAAAATCAGTTAACCAATATATATTTTAAAAACAGTTGAAACCAGTTTGGAACAGCTACATAATAATTATTGTGGTGCAATTTGTAAAAATTGAGACCTGTAAGTTCTGACCATCATCTGTCTTTCCTTAATCTCAAGAACAGAGTTAGATGAAATTGACAATCAGATATGGGAACCTTAGGGGCAGGAGGCCCCAATTAACTATATATAAACTTTTGATGAAAACTGGAAGTCATGTTATTTCAATTCAAAAACTCCCCCCCTGAAAAGTGTTAGATCACCAGCACAACTCTATTGTGAAAGGAAAAGTATAACATACAGGGGCAAGTCACTACTAATTTGAGGTGGAGAAAATATATTTTAAATTTAATAAATAAAAATATGATTAAAAATACAATAAATAATTGCTCATTCTTGATTAAGTTACTTCCAATAAAGTGAACATTACAATGCATTCCTAACATATTTTAATTGCTCTTCAAAATATATCTTGATTAACTGATTTTGGGCCATATTACCCAACTCGGACCTACTTTATTATTAGTTTTGTTTTCTTATATGTAAATTTCCAAGAATGTTCAATCCTCAAAAAAATCTAATATGTTATAAAAGTGCAAGAAATAGCCATTCCAGATACAGTGAAATTTCATATAATGTTAGAATCTTAATATATATTAAGATACAATATGAAACATAATATTCAGGGAAAGAATGTCAACTAAATTATGGTTATTGTTATTCATTACTTTCCTATCATTTTAGTATGATATACTTCCCTGTGGAAAGTTCATGCCAAACAACCTGGTAATTTCTAAAGTCTTTATTTTAATTTGCAAAATATGCATTTCAGATTCTATTCATAAAATCTCTTTTCAATGTAAGTGTAAAAAGGATGATGTAAATTTAAAAAACTAAATTTTTCACTAATATCCAGGGCTTCTTTATTGTTGCATTAAAGGCATTGAGTTATGTTAAATGGTCAAAGCATTTGCTATTGGCATTGATGCTGCTTCTGAAGAGACTGCAGGACTTTAGAATAATATGTAAAGGTACAGAAGAAGAGGATAAGGAGAAGAGAGTTTATTTAAAACTAGTTGATATTTGACTGGTAAACTGAATGTTCTTAACTAGTCAAAGGATGGTTGGTAATGGACAAAGTATGAAAAGGTGAATTTTTCATTATTTCAAAATACTTTAATGTGAAGTATATTAATGGCATTGTGTAATATAATATTATTATAATACTTAACAATATTATATATATATATATATATATNATATTAAATTAATAACATTTCAGACGTTGTTATAAATTTTTTATATATTTTGATTTTTTAACCAAATGTCCGAACCTTTTTAAATTCGAATTTGTTAGTTCGATCAGAATCAGTTCGATTCTAGAACAATTGTAAATGTTCCATAAAATTGATCAAATTGAAAATAGTTTGTTTGATTCTCAGCAATTCTCATCATTCTCAATGGTAGGTGTTATATAACAATTACTATGGTTGTTGAAATACTGAATATAAATGGGGTTTGCTTGCAAAACCTCTGCGGGCGAAGTTGCAGGTAACAGCTAGTAACTAAATAAAAACAATTGGGTTACACTTGGATTGTGAAGACACTCTCCTCTATTAACGATGACAACAAACAAAAACTCATCATCCTCATCAATTATAAGGTAGATGGTTATTAAAACAGATTCTTTTCTTATAAAAACATTTGAAATATACCTCCATAATTCAATAAACATAACTTATTACAAATTATTTAATATATTTTTTTCCATAATTACAGCCATTAGATCATGAATTGTTCAACTTTATTACTGTATGTTCTAGTTTTGTTTGAATGTATCTAAAATTTTATGATGTAATTTTTATATTTGTTTTTTTTTTGAAGCAATAATCTGAGGATATCCTATAACAAAAATAAAAAATAATTGTAATTTAGCAAATTTTCACTTTTTAACATGTAAACAAATTAGCTAATATAATTTGTTTACATGTTATAATATTTCAATAAGAAAATAAAATAATTTAAGCTATTAATAAATTTTTTGACCTATTTCCAAGTTTTCTACATTAAGATCTAATTTCAAACTTTCCACCATGTTAAAAGATCATGCAGTATTAATTCAAACTGTCAGATCACATTCAACGAATCAATGTTATAAAACTAGCTAGTAGCTGTTGAAAGTGCAGTAATACTGCAAATGCCATAAAAATTGGATTGGCTTCTACTTTCACTGGACTACCAAACAGCACAACAACAGATGATAATATCTGCCACAAACTTTGCTGTTTTTCTTGATGTGCCACAGAATACATCCACCTTTAGAATTATTACCAATTGTTGCACAAAGTTATCCTAATTAAGTCCCTAAATTTTATTTGCTTGTCCAACTCTAATTAATAGTAGTGCTTTCTCTTTCTGTTACTCTAGTGAATGAAAAAGATGAAACTATTACTTTAGAACAGGAAATAAAATATTGGAACATATCTGTAATATCTCAGAGACAATAAAATAAAATTAAACAAATAAAATTGTACTCAATATAATAATGTAATATATATATAAATATTAAGAAAAAAATATACACTAACATATTAATGTAATAATTGTATGAATACATGCTATACATACCCGTCTTCATATTCATAATTTTCAAAAAGTCCCGTAGCATCAATACCAACAGATACAGTTCCCTAATAAATAAATATTGCAAAATATTAATATTAAATATAGTAAAAGTTCCATATTTGAACATTTAGCATATTTACAGTCCAGGGTTTAAATAATTTTTCATATTTTCAAAGATAAAATTTGTTTTTTGCAGAAGGATTATTAAAAATATTGAAACAATGGATAAAGAACTAATTATATGATTTTTAATACATTTTATCATAAACATGTTCTACTAAAATTCATACTGTAACTATTAAATTACATTAGTGGATATCATCTCATAGTTGCTTATACAAGTATTATATTATTATAGTATGTGCACTTATGTAGAGTATATGTTGCTTTATATTAATATCTAGCCAGGATTACCAGAGGTAATGATTTCAGTGGGATCTAAAATCACATATACAGTACATAAGCAAATCCTGACTCTTGCCCTACAAAAACTAAATTCAGTCATAAATTTAACAAAATTAATTACTTTTCTCTTATTGCACAAAAAAGTTATTTGATTGTAAAAAATATGAAAATTTCTTTTGATGATTTATTAGTTATTACCCAAAATAATTTTTATATGAAGATTATACATGAATTGTGTTTTACATTATAATTTTGCCATAAATGATTATTTTTCGTTAAGTGAAACAATAAGTAAAAAAATTCAATATTTTATAACATTAAACAATGTTTTTAGTAATGGTAATATGTTTCTCTTCAATTGCATATGAAATTATATAAATAATGATGAATTAAAGGGAAGGGATTTTTCGAAATTCCCCCGCGGGAGGGAGAGGGAGAGCATTAAGGCTTAACCGGAAGAACGGCTTCTGTACTATTTTACATGTGATTTTTTGTTATGTTTAGGTTTAGTCTTCATTAAGTACTTAAGTAGACTATATTAAATTAATAACATTTCAGACGTTGTTATAAATTTTTTATATATTTTGATTTTTTAACCAAATGTCCGAACCTTTTTAAATTCGAATTTGTTAGTTCGATCAGAATCAGTTCGATTCTAGAACAATTGTAAATGTTCCATAAAATTGATCAAATTGAAAATAGTTTGTTTGATTCTCAGCAATTCTCATCATTCTCAATGGTAGGTGTTATATAACAATTACTATGGTTGTTGAAATACTGAATATAAATGGGGTTTGCTTGCAAAACCTCTGCGGGCGAAGTTGCAGGTAACAGCTAGTAACTAAATAAAAACAATTGGGTTACACTTGGATTGTGAAGACACTCTCCTCTATTAACGATGACAACAAACAAAAACTCATCATCCTCATCAATTATAAGGTAGATGGTTATTAAAACAGATTCTTTTCTTATAAAAACATTTGAAATATACCTCCATAATTCAATAAACATAACTTATTACAAATTATTTAATATATTTTTTTCCATAATTACAGCCATTAGATCATGAATTGTTCAACTTTATTACTGTATGTTCTAGTTTTGTTTGAATGTATCTAAAATTTTATGATGTAATTTTTATATTTGTTTTTTTTTTCAAGCAATAATCTGAGGATATCCTATAACAAAAATAAAAAATAATTGTAATTTAGCAAATTTTCACTTTTTAACATGTAAACAAATTAGCTAATATAATTTGTTTACATGTTATAATATTTCAATAAGAAAATAAAATAATTTAAGCTATTAATAAATTTTTTGACCTATTTCCAAGTTTTCTACATTAAGATCTAATTTCAAACTTTCCACCATGTTAAAAGATCATGCAGTATTAATTCAAACTGTCAGATCACATTCAACGAATCAATGTTATAAAACTAGCTAGTAGCTGTTGAAAGTGCAGTAATACTGCAAATGCCATAAAAATTGGATTGGCTTCTACTTTCACTGGACTACCAAACAGCACAACAACAGATGATAATATCTGCCACAAACTTTGCTGTTTTTCTTGATGTGCCACAGAATACATCCACCTTTAGAATTATTACCAATTGTTGCACAAAGTTATCCTAATTAAGTCCCTAAATTTTATTTGCTTGTCCAACTCTAATTAATAGTAGTGCTTTCTCTTTCTGTTACTCTAGTGAATGAAAAAGATGAAACTATTACTTTAGAACAGGAAATAAAATATTGGAACATATCTGTAATATCTCAGAGACAATAAAATAAAATTAAACAAATAAAATTGTACTCAATATAATAATGTAATATATATATAAATATTAAGAAAAAAATATACACTAACATATTAATGTAATAATTGTATGAATACATGCTATACATACCCGTCTTCATATTCATAATTTTCAAAAAGTCCCGTAGCATCAATACCAACAGATACAGTTCCCTAATAAATAAATATTGCAAAATATTAATATTAAATATAGTAAAAGTTCCATATTTGAACATTTAGCATATTTACAGTCCAGGGTTTAAATAATTTTTCATATTTTCAAAGATAAAATTTGTTTTTTGCAGAAGGATTATTAAAAATATTGAAACAATGGATAAAGAACTAATTATATGATTTTTAATACATTTTATCATAAACATGTTCTACTAAAATTCATACTGTAACTATTAAATTACATTACTGGANTAAAAAATCTACTTACATTTTCTGCTTGCTGAACAGTTCTCTTCTCAGTCTGTAGACAGTGTTTCACAACTCTTACCAATTGTTTTGGATTATGAAAATAATTTTCCTATTAAAATAATGCTTGCATAAAAATTAAGTAATAATAAATTAATTAACAATATTCCAATTAAATCACACTATTCAACATTAATTACATAAAATTATCAAATTCAACAAGCAACACTAAGTTATACAAATCATTGATTAGCTGAAATTAACATTTTTCAAGACCCAAATATTTTATTATCATATCAATTGTGGAGATGTCATGCAAAAGCAAACAAGTCCACTCTAAACAATTGTTGGAAAAATGCAAAAAACTTTTATTAAATTTTTTTACACCTGTAAAAATTCTCTTTTTTTTCATTTTGTATCTAACATCAATTTTTGTATAAATCCATGGATATTAAATGGATATAAAAATTTTAATTATCCATTTTTGAAAATTTAACTAGTTTCCTATAAGTTTCTAGTGTAGCAATGTTCAATACAGTAATACCCCAAACTTACATGATAGGTGGGACTGAGTGATAACCGCGCAAGTCGGAATATAATTTCACAATTTGTGTAAAATCCAAGTCAGATGTATGTAAACTAATAAATATTCTTGTTAATCCAAGTCAGATGTATGTAAACTAATAAATATTCTTGTTAATCTTATCTCGTCTTTTGATTCATTCATGGTTACAAGAAATCACCACATAGAGTCTCTCAAGTCTCTGAAGATATAACAAACACAGAAATAAATAACACAAAATAAATTGTAGCTATGTGTCAATTCTGCATGACATATCCAAATAAGTAAGCTAAACAATAGTGTGGAGGGAGTGAATAATCAAGAGTTGTGTGGCGCTCAAACAAAAGACGAATTTATGAGATTTGAAAATCGTGTAACTCTGGGTTCACATAAGTCGGGGTAGCGTAAGTTGAGGTATTACTGTATTTACTTTTTACTCTCATTTCACTCCTGTTTAAGTTAAAGATGCATTATATATATTTTATCAGCATATCAGTGTTCTAGATAGACTATCCACTAATGGAGAATGAGAACACAGTTTGTTGTTTCTTGTATCCAGGATAAAAGTTCCCATCTAAGCCAGAGAGCACTTTAGACTTGGAGAAATCACTCTCATCTGGTGGAATCCCTTCCATCAACTCAGTGAGAATCTGTTGACTTGGGGAGAACTGATTTGTCTTTGGGAAAAATCTCTTTTGGTTCCTTGGTGGGAAAATCTCTGCTGTCTTAGTGGGAAGAATTGCTCTCGGATCTTGAAGTGAAGTCTCTTAAAGGCTTTACATCCCCAATCAAATGTTCTGGTTAATCATGATCTTCATCCTCTACCTTTCCGATTGGTCCCTAGTTTGTTACCAGGATTATTCGAGACGGAATTCAGAGATCAGACACTGACCAAAGATGTTTATTGAATTTGACACAAATCCGCCCATAGTACAGAGTCAAGCATTTTTTCCCCAGTTGTAAATATTACCAGCTACACTCATTTGGTTTAATTATACATTCTATCTTCATGTTTTCACAATAATTGGAGAAAATAGTCAAATTCCTGATTTGCTCTCTCATGAATCTTTATCTACTAAGAGCATTTTAAATGAAACAACATTTTCCTTTAAAACAGATTTTGGCCAAGGTTTCAGACTCTGGTCAAAACCTCACAATAGTCTAACCTTAGACATCACAAGAATATAACTGCCATATTTACTCACATATAAGATGACCTCACATATAGGACAAGGTGTGACTTTAAAGATCAAAATAAAGAAAATTAGATTTATTAATACAATTCTAATTTTATTTCATTTAATCACAAGTAAAATATCAAATTAACATAAATACACACATTGCCCTGCAAAAATTACTGGCATTTTAAACTTTAAAGAAAAATCTTGTAAAATCAACAACATAATTTGTTCATGTAAAGCTGGACAATCAGAAACCTTTTTTCGCCAATTCTTAATAGTCGAATCCACTCTTTGCTGATTACACCTATGAGTTTCTCCAAATTCTGATTTCAAAATAATCATCTGTTTTCACATGGGAATGGATTAAAACTAACATTGTGCTCCCATGTGATTTTGGAATTTCAATCTGAAATTCAATTCAAAAGCCTTGCTTTTCCTATTGCTATTATATTGCTATTGCTGTTGCTAATAACCAAGCATAAAAATCTTTTATACAAAAGTTTTTTATATTATATAAAAAATATAATATAAAACCGAGTTTTTATATTATATTTTTTATATCTGTTATATTTTATATTTTATTTTCTATTTGGTTAATGCCATTTCTGTTTGTAATTTAAAATTGGCTTGGAAAAAACATTTGATTCATATTTGAGCCTGAAGTTGACATTCATAGTAGCGTCAAAAGTGCTTGCAGAAAAATAAAATATTCCTTAACACCTTTTTTATGTTGAGTTTTTCTCCTTGTGTATATAATACTTTTACCATTTTAACATCAAATGAGTACATGTAAATATTATCCATTTTAAATTATTTATTTATTTATTATTTTATCACATAATATAACAAAACTGAGAAATTTTAAAATATATTTTGTACCTCTATAAGCAAAGACCACAATAAAACACATGCATTCTATAAATCAGTTGACCATATGACTCTTTGTAAATTTCATTTTCAAAATGTGCACTAAAGTAGCTTCAAGTTATTAGTTATTCAAATTTATATAAAAAATTTCAAATAAATTTTAAATTTTTTTAATACTAATTGCAAATTTCAAGAATAATGACAGGTTCAAATTAACCAGATTCTGACTGTAATATGGAAATAAATACAATAAAGATGATACAAATTAAATCAGATCATTCTCCATAAGAAGGATAATCTAATTTTTTAAAGATGACATTAATAAATATTTTTTAAAGAAAGAAGATTCTATATCATTTTATCTTTTTCTTGCTATGTGAGTTCCCATTAAAATTTATAAAAAAAATCATCAAAATTTAAACAAAGGTCCACACAATCTTAAAGCCAATATTGTATAACAACAAATTTTAAAACTTTTGTTAACATTCCCAATAAAAGTTTATTATATAATTTAAAACTGAACATGAAAATATTCTATTGTTATAAAGTAAAAAAAAAGGGGGTTTTGAATTAGTTATGATAATCAATAAACAATATATTCTTGAAAATATTTACTTGAGTTTTTACACAAACTCTAATTTTATATTAAGAAATACCTAAATAGCTTAACAGTACTTTGGGATTTGTTCTTTGCTGTAATCGCCTCTCCTCTCTTTCTCTTGCCAACTGTTCATATTCTTCTCTAATTTCTTGGGGAGTTTTAGTTCGTTGAACTATCTATAAAAATAATCTTTTAAAATCTTAAATTCAAAAATCAATAATTTCCTTTTTTTTAATTACTTCTTTCTTTATTAGGTTTTAACAAAATTATAACACTATCAAAAAAATAAATTTTAAGAAATTATTTCATAATATAGTTTCAATCATTTCTTTATTGATAGGTAAAATACTAGATTAAACAGGGATGGAGAGTTGGAGTTGGTAGTCAAAAGTCAGAGTGGAAGTCAGAAAACTTATCAACACCCATCTGATTACATTGCTTTGACATTTAAAAAATTAAAAATTGTTTGAAAGCCATTAATACTGTTATTTTTGACATTTTTAATAATAGAAAATGCAGCCCCATGCTGTTATTGCACTACTTCCTATGCAAGTCAGTGCTGAACAATTATTTTCAGCTCTGCATTTAATCAAATCTCACTTACACACTAATTTGAAAGAGGATATAATGGAGGCTACTCTTTTTTTTTGAGAATAAATTCTCTAATTAAATTTTGTTCAATCTTCTTAGTGTTAAATTTTTTTAGTATTAATATCATTATGTATATGTGTGAATCAGAACTAGGTTATAAAATTTATTTGTATTATTGAATCCAGAAAAAGCCTCTAATTTTAAAACTTGACACAAACTATTCCCCACTCGTAAAGTATTATAAGAACTCTCCCCTCCCAAATAATAATTTCATTAAAGTAATAAAATGTATATTACTTTTACATATTTTCTCCATCAACAGCCAACACATTTGTCACTTTTATGTCAAAAAGGAAAATTGACTTCCTTTCACAAGCACTTATCTCTAGTTTTAATGAACATCTAGACGTCTAACTCATTAATATGTCCCGTCAACTGATACAAATCCATAATTTCTATTGGAAAAACTTGTATATAAAAAGGGCAATCTCCCATAAGTTAGGGAGTTCTAGGCCAATTTCCAATAGTGCACCATTCCTGAAAGTCATCCCCCACCACTCCACTGCATCCTCCATCATCGATCATCGAACTTTTACCCCAGAGGACAACTGTCAACAGCATCCCAGTATATCCAACCAAGGTAGTATGTTTTGATTGATGTGAACTCTCTCTCTCATGATAAGATAGGTTAGGACTTTTAGAACCTCCTCTGTTACTTTCTGTGGCTCAAAGTCCACATCTTTTATTTTATTTTGTCCCTATTAAATTTTGTTTTGTTTTGATTTAAAATGGTCTCATTCTTGATCTCAAATATCAGCAGAAGCCTTATCACGGATCTATGATCCCACTCTCTCGGAAAAGTACAATAATTATTATTTTGCATGCCTAACACTCTAATTAAGCTGGTGTCAGGAAAAATCTATGGGAAGATCACAAGAACTTCCTGTTCACCAATAAATATTACTAAAATCCCATCCAGTGACCCTGTGGGCAGATCTAGCGGATCTGACATCAAATACAGGTGAAAGAAAATCCTTTCTTAACCCTGGATTACCACACACATATATATATAGTAATAAATATTAATGTATTAATATATATAAAATAATAAAAATTTAATAGTCTCAGTTTTTTATAGGTTATAGTTTGATATGTATTATGAATATACAATACCAAAAAGACCCAAAATTAAAAAGCCAACTTTATTTCTATTAAACAAATTACTAATGTACTTGTGGTGCATTAGTGAAAGGAATCAGGAGTCAAAGTTGATTTTAAAAAATACCAACTCAGGAGTTTGGAATCATGTATTTTTCCTCAGACTCCCCATCCCTGAGATTAAATGTTAAAATTTTAAAGTAAATTTATTTTTAAATAAATATATTTTATTTTACATTAACAGAATGTAAAAAGTTCTGTAAAAGTATTACAAATTAATTAGTTATTTTCACTGAAAAATAAATCAGATTTTATATCAAAATTCCTTAGAAAGCTATAAAGTAATTGCACATACAAAACTTTTAATGCTACTTATCAAATTTTGTACACAATTCTGTTTTTAACATTTTTTTCACACAGTTGTGATTTAACATGGTCTGAAAAAAATTAATTCTCTTTTTACACAATTTGTTTTGATCTAAAACTCAAAAACATTTCAAAAAATTTGCCTTTTTTAAAATCACTATTTGATTTTAAGTCTAAGAAAAAAATATTCGTATTTTCTTTTTTAAAAAACTGCTTTTAGAAAAAAAATTCTTAGAACTTGCACTTAAGGCTGCTAAACATTCTCATGTAAATTTCAAAATAATTTGTATTTTTTTTTTTTTATGACTATCTGAACATAATGACAATGGGTGTCTAGATGATAAGCAGCTAAGTAAATAAACTAATGACAAAGTCTATTTTATGTGAAATAGAATACGTCACTGGTTTGCTTATTCAATACTTGTCATCTAGCTTTCCCAATTAGTTTTTCATTCTGACTATCCTGCAATTAAAACAGTCAAGACATTTTGTTCAAAGTTTGATAATTTTTTTGACTGACTGCATTTCGTCCAATTTTGTTCAATACAGAATAGCTTTTATATGTCATTTGGCATTAAAAGCTAGATATTTTGATATTTATTTGAAAAGGTTAAATAAAATTTATGCAAATACCAAATTTATTAAATTTTGCTGATAAGTTGCTATCATCACTACTATAATATAGTTTCAATCATTTCTTTATTGATAGGTAAAATACTAGATTAAACAGGGATGGAGAGTTGGAGTTGGTAGTCAAAAGTCAGAGTGGAAGTCAGAAAACTTATCAACACCCATCTGATTACATTGCTTTGACATTTAAAAAATTAAAAATTGTTTGANTTATTATTTGAATTGAATTATATTTTTAAAAAATTTGGATTTTTACAAAATACCTATAAAAAATTCTATCCCAATCTAGAACTATGCTAGCCAATGATGATGCCAGCAGAACTTTTAGCACAATAGTCTTGGATATATCTAGACTGCGTAAAAACACTGTGTACCTGGTGCCAGTATATTGCAAGATGACTTTGTATTTCTCTGCTACAACATTCATAGTCTTTACACATTAACCATATCTGCTTTTCCTGCAGAACACACTTCGAAACAATCTTTTTCACAAGTAATGATATTCACGAAACTAATATAATGTGACTATAGTATTGCAGCAATTTAGAAAATAAATTCATTTTAAAATATTTTTTTCATTGAAGATAAAAAAATTTTTTTGTATGAAAATGAAATTTAAATGATATGAGAATGCAAGATCTAAGATCAAATCATCCCAGGTTGTTATTGGATTAAATATTTAATTTTGATCACTCCTATGATCCAAGTTGAGATCTTGTTGCATTTAGCAATGGGTGAGCAATTAGCAGGGACAGAAAATAATAATTCCAAATTTCAAAGATATGATGTTTCTCCTAAATATTCCAAGTATTGGACTATTTGTTTCATGTGTGTGTATATGTGTCTTGTGCATATCTTAGTCTCTGTCACCCTTCCTCAAATCAACATCTTTTTTCCATCACTGGAAATTGATTGCATCAGTATAGGGATGTTGAGATGTCAGAGAAACTCACTCACTCACCAATGACACTTCTTCATTTGAGACTATCTTAGAAAAAATAGGAAGACCCAGAAACTGTTGTTCTTAAAAAAAAAAAATTGACCGACTTCTATCCTTCTCCAAGGAATCAAGAAAAAGGAGTCTTGAAGATAATCAGTTTAATTGCTTGAAGGAGATTTGTTTAAGTGTTATCAACCATACTCATATATGATTTCTCACCCATCTCATCATGCTGAATGCAAAATTAGTGTTAGTAACCTCACAATTCTATTCTGATCTGTCTGCATGCTGACTGGACTAATGTATTTAATCAGTATTATCCACTTGTGTAATTCATAACCTAATTATTTGCTTAACTCATGAGTTTTTTCATCAATTAAACAAATGAGATGACATTAAAGAGGTTGCAGCCAATGTTTTCATTGCAAAAACATGAACGTCGGATTTTGAGCACTGCAATCTGGCAAGTCCAGAAGGTTGACAATGGTGTTTACTACATCTAGCATGGTGAGTAGAAGTTTGGCTTAAACTTCTTCATTTTTTTGTGTTTGGGGTTAAAATTATGACATATTTTATTAAAATAATGATTATTTAAGCATTTATGAATAATATTGTAAAGAAACAGACAATTTTAATCCAGAAATTATTTTATTATTGAATTTTTTTGCAAGTGATGTGAAGTGCCTATAGAATTTACATATATTTGTGTTCATAATAGCTTATCATAATTCTGTAGTAGTAGTAGTAGTAGTAGTAGTTTGTTCTTTCACAGCATCTTCTACCATCAACAGTGTAATATGTTCGTAAATTTTCTAAAAAAACTTTCCCAAGCTGCTTTTGGATTTACATAAGCCACTACTTCCCTCAACAAAAATATGTCATAAGAACAGGCAAAACGCATTAGAATTGTCCTACTATTATATTGTATGGTAGGAGACATGACGCTAATTAAAGTAAAAAGTAATTATTTAGTGTTATTAAACATCCTATAAATATTTTTGAATAGTTTAATTTGTTTATTTACCTTTGCTGGTAACATTCATCATTGTTAAATGTTTCTGTCATTTTTCAACAATATCCCATGAGTCAGTACGTGACATGAACATGTGGCGCAACATGTTTTACTTGGAGTTCAAACATCAAACGTGTACTTTCTGCTTGCCGTACAAGTTTGACGTTTGAACTTCAGCTGCAAACTCTCTATTAACTGCTAGTGTTAAACTAATAAAACAATCAATTTAATTAGTGAACTAATGTTAGTCAATGATAAGTAGAGGTTAGTAGTCTAATAAACTTTAATTTATAAGTATTATCATATTTTTAGGTCTAGAGATGCTGTTCCAACAACATGTTTTTTAGTGATTTTAGTCCTGATAATATAAAAGTTTTAAACTGTAGCACTGGAATTTAAAGTTATGGAAATGTTAATTTTAACTATGATGCATAACTTACTCTCAATTTTGTATACACCATGTATAGCCATATAGTATCTATGTATCAATTTTCACTTAAATCCTTCAATTACAGCAATTTCTACAACACATTGAGTTACTGAATTTATTTTCTCATCAATGCAAATATACCTATTATTCCATATTATTTTTAGATAAAAAAAATTATGAATCCAAAAAACTTAATTTTCAAACTATTTTAACAGTTCTAAACTTCCAATTTATAATTTACCTTCATATATTCTTCGTGTTTTATTAAAAAGAACTTCTGCATCTTTTTTCTTGATGGCATCATTATGTTTATCTGGATGATAAAGTTTGCTGAGACGACGATAAGCATTTGAAACTTCTTCTGAAGTAGCCTGTAATATATGAAATTATCAGTTGTTAGCATGAATTTAAATAACCGAAAAATTGTTAAATGTAATTAATTATCAATATGTTATAGTATTGCTTCAATCTATGTAATTCAGAAAAATTTCAATGATATAAAACAGGGATGACAGTACAAGAGCTGCACATAGCCTGTGGCCATTGCGTATCCCTTGTATTAGCTCATATTGACAAAATTTTATTAATAAATAAAATGAATTTTTAAAATTGTCAATCTATTCCTCATCTTAACATTTTAGTATTTATATGTTTACTATATGTTCAATTTCATAAATAGGCATATTTTTAATTACTGCTTCAAATTTCAATTAATTAAATAGAAATTTTTATTTTTAGGGATAAGCAAGAAAAGTAAAATAGAACAAGAAAACAGACTCTTCAATGACAAAAAATGAACATATTTCTTCTTTTTTTTTATATACAAATTAAAGATAAAGCAATTTGTCTTATTTCTTGAGAAGGTACAGTACATCCTTGTTTAAAGACTAAAACATATGAGGCATTTTAATACAAAATATTCAAATTATTTCTCCAACTTAACTGAGAATAAACAGGAAAAGGCAAATGTAATACAACACTACAAGAATTTAAAAAAAAGGAAATGTCGAAAACTTTATAACTAAATAAACAACACTTAATTTTTGGTTTCACATATATTTGTGAACAATCATTCTTTAAGATCATGGATCTGTAATGAACATTTGGAAGCAATATTAAGATTATACACTATAAATATAATCCAGATTTTGAAAAGATGTCTAAAGAATGTAAAGAATTTTGTAAGTAATTAATTGTTAATTTCTTAAGTAAATGTTGTGTTCATGTTGTATTTTTTTCATAATTATTAAAAGAATAAAAAACATGTATAATTTTTAAATGTGGTTCCTAGCTATATTTCATTAATATCATAAAACCTCTTTTCTGCANTTCAATGATATAAAACAGGGATGACAGTACAAGAGCTGCACATAGCCTGTGGCCATTGCGTATCCCTTGTATTAGCTCATATTGACAAAATTTTATTAATAAATACATTCCAAAAATAAGCTTGAACTTATTTTTTTCATAATTATTAAAAGAATAAAAAACATGTATAATTTTTAAATGTGGTTCCTAGCTATATTTCATTAATATCATAAAACCTCTTTTCTGCAAAACTTTGTCCATTGCTGATATATAATATAAAATTCAAAAACTTCTTATTCAACAAATGTTAGTTTCTGAAATGTAAGATACAGAAAACTTATAATTTCTGTGTAAGAAAACTGAACCTCTCAAAAAATTATCATTTGTAAATCTGTACTGTATAACCTGCACTAGTATAGGCCTAATATCCTGCAAAAACTGCTAAAATCAAAATAAAAACTACATAACATGCACCACAATATACTCCACACTTATGAAACTGCCATTTAAAACACCATGCATAAGGCTCTTAATAAGGCATCATCAAACCCTGGGTGGTTTGATGATGCCTTATTATGTGCCTTATGATGCTGAGGTGGAAATCTGTTTGGAGAAACAGACCTTATGATTGCAATACAGGACCAGGTTATCAGTACAAGAACCTACAAAAACACATAATCAAAGATATCTTGGATGACACATGTAGGAAATGTTATGGCACATAATAAAACTGTACAAGATATCATAGACAGCTGTAAAAGCCTAGCACAGACTATTTATACAGATATAACCAGACAGAAAAAATTCACCAGTATATAGCAAAAAAATATTTACGAACCATCACAAACACACCATATTAAAAGTATATACCACAAACTATTCTTGAGAACACAACACACAAACCATATTTTGACAGAACAGTTTTAACTTATAAAACAATCCATCACAATAGACCAGATATTATCCTTATTGACATAGTGCACAAAACAACCTATATTGTTAACCTCCCTATACCAAAATATACATAATCTACAAAATAGTTATACAACAAGACAGCACTGGCAACATATGCATCAGATCAGGATATACATGCAGACTTAGAGAATGCTACCCTTATAAAGAAATCATTCCAAACTGACCATACAAGGAAATTGGAAAAATTAGCGAAATATACAAAGTAAGCAGAGCGGGAAACTGTATTAACTATAAAGACAACAACACTACATCATATACATGGCAATATATGTATTAAAAGGATCCTCAACAATATTGACGTCTTATTCAAAGAATTCTGAGATAAAATATTAATATGCAGAAGGTGGACTTATATAATGGAGTAGAACATAAATAGCCAAATTAATTTGCATCAAATTAATTGAACGGTTGAACTAAGTGGCAATTAATATTTGAACTCTGGGTTTTCCAATATAAGAACATTATCGAACCTGAAGCAGTTCTCGATAGAGATACGAAAACATTTGTTCAAGCAAGTATTATTATTTTTACTGGAAATATAAGGTTTTGAAAGAGATAGTAATAGTTATACAGAAAAAATAAATAAATATACTTAACACACTCAAGAAATAAAAGATCTATGGAAAATGGATAAGTAAATACAATACCCATAGTTCTCTCTGCTACAGAAGTTATCTCACATTTGTTACATAAAAGCCTGAAGACAACAGACATTTCATTCAAATTTATATAGATCCTTACAATAAGCAACCATTCTGGCAACTTGTCATATTTTCAGAAAATTTCTCCAATTGTTTAAAATTTTGTACTGGTCTCACAGGATTGGCTCTCTGATTCACCTGTGAGATTTGATACTGGACACATTCCAAGAATGATACACAGTAAAAAAAGTAAACCAGAGAACAATGAAAGAAATAATTATTATTATTATTATTTCTTTGATTGTTCTCTGGTTCACTTTTTTTAATGTTATGAAAAATAATAATATTAACTGTCCACAAAAAACCTTTATCAGTGTTGTGTTCGTTACAATATCCACTAACGTTTTCGATCTCCACCGAGGTCTTCTTCAGGTGCTGACTAAGCGTTGTCTCCCCTTGACTGTTAGAATGATGTTGTCTGAGACGTAAATATTGCACGTATCACATTTCACCCCTCCGCTTGTCCCTGTTCGAATTCCTCAAATAGGTATCTCCACACCTGCACGATCGTTTCTCTGTCTTTAAAGTTGATACAGGTGCCCCCAATGTTGGCTTTGTAGATCTCCCAGGTCTCAAGGTGATGGATGCAATCAATTTGAAATGCCTATCTGATTAATTTGGTGTTTGGGAAGTCTGCCAAATTTCAGGGTCGCTAACGTATGCCGTTAAGGCGGTGGCGTGCCTGTTATTTTTAATGTCCGATTGATGCTCATGTAACCGTTTTTGTGTTGAGTGCACGTAGAACGGATATAAACTAAGTTTCTCTGGAATCTATTGTCCCTGATGGGAATGGAGTAAACCCCTGGGGCTCTGTTGAGATCTATTGCATCTTTAGTATTGCGCAGCAGGTCATAAATAGTGCCAGTCCTCCTGTACGCGATCTTTGTGTGATTATGGCAAGCAATCTCCCCATATAGGGGGTCCAAATGTTGGTTGAACCGGACGACTGCACACCTCTCATTCTTAACGGGTTGCTGTCAGCTGTCCGGCGTAGTCAGGGGGTAGCACTGCTGCGTGAGGAAGACGGTTGGGCAGGCACGGGCCAAACTGTGAATCATGCCCTTACTGTAGCCATGCTCAATGGCAATTTTTTCTATGTGGCAGAGCTCAGTCAGGGTGTCCCATTCGTTAGTGTGATGCGCGAAGGCCCATCTGGTTAGGGCCTGGAAGGCTGCAATTTTGTAAGCGAAGGGGTCAGACGAGTTAGCGGGGATGAAGAGCGGAACTTGGTCTGGTTTGCGGTAAACACTCGTTTCTATCTTGCCATCCCTGAGACATATGTCAACATCTAGGAAATGTGCATGAGAGTTACTAAATTGATCCAAGCCAAGGGTGAGGCCATAAGCATTATCGTTCATGCACAACAAAAACTCGTCAAGATTCGGTTTAGTTCTCCAAAGTATAAAGATGTCGTCCACGTATCTTTGGTATAGACTGATGCACAGTAAGAATTTGGGTAGTACCCTCCAACTGTCATACTACCAGCTTGCAAAGGTCCCCCGATAGTGGGCTGCCCATGGGTACACCCCATCTCTGTAAGTAAGTGGTGGTGTTGAACTGGAAAACCAAGGTGTAGCACGAGATGTGCCAGCTCTAAAATCTGCTGCCTGTGCTGGTGCGCATCATTCCCGTGAAGTAGAAGGTCCCTAAGGGTGCAGAAGCATGGTTGCAGACATATCGACCATTCGTATCGACAGGATGTACTCAACAGTGTTACAGTTAGAAGACGTTTGTGTAATAATAATATTATTATTTTTCATAACTGTTTCTTGCAGATAAAAACAGTATATCATTAAACTTACACAACACTAATGTGGATTTTACACAGTACCCGAAACACACAGACACCATCAGACAATCCTAGACTCAGAAGGAATGAAGGAACTCTTTGGTAGGCACTCTAGCGATCTAAGCCATGTTGATAAAACTGCATCAAACTGCTGGCTGACTAACGGGTGTCTCTTTGGAAGAACAAAAATTCACGATTGATAAGATCAGGTCATCAATACAACAAACTACAGAAAATACATTTTAAAAGACAATATTTACAGAAAATAACACATGCATGAAACTATACAACACATCACATCAGAAAAAAATAATACTGTCTTCTGGCATTAAAATTCTTTAACAAAAGTGAAATTAGCACTTTAATGATAACAGAATTATCCCATTAGTAATGATAAAAACAAGTAATTTTGACAATTCATTGACATCATCTTCGGGTATAATAGATTGTTTTAAAAATACCTGTTATAAAATTCATTTGATCAAAAAAACACAAAGCTGTAAATTTTAAATTTTGAATGATATAAATGGAAAATATTAAAAATATAACAATTTTAAAGTTGGATAAAAGAATGATAGAAATAATCAATAATGTAAAT